TTTTATAGTTTATTGAGATGTGTCTTTATATTGTTGATTTGTAATCTTTCTGTATTTTTGATATAGGCAGTTAAGGCTATGAATTTTCCCCTTAGGACTACTTTTGCTGAATCCCATATATTTTGATTGTTTGCATTCTCTTTGTCATTCAGTTTAAGGAATCTTTTGATTTCCATCTTAATTTCATTATTGACACAATAATCATTCAGTGGCAGGTTTTTTAATTTCCATGACTTTGTGTAGAATTGAGTGTTTCTCTTGGAGTTTATTTCTAGGTTTATTCTACTGTGGTCTAGGAAGATACATGGTATGATTTCTATTTATTTGAATTTGTTGAGACATGTTTTGTAGCTTAATTTATGACAATCTTGGACAATATTCCATGTGCTGAGGCAAAAAACATATATTCAGTAGTTTTGGGGTAACATATTCTGTAAATATCTACTAGGTACATTTATTCTAGAGTCCCATTTACATACGTTTATTTTCTGCTTGGATGATCTGTCCAGTTCTGTCAGTGGGATGTGGAAGTTGCTGGCAATTACAATGCTGCTGTTTATCTCTTTGCTTAGATCTAGTATTTTGTAGTTTTCATTGTATGAGTTTTTTATCACCTTGGATAATTCCTAAAAATTTTATTCTTTTTGGTGCTACTCCAAATGGAATTTTCTTAATTTTTTACTTTTGTGTATATTCTTAAGCTCTTTTGCTTGTGATTACCATGGTTAATTATATTTGACATCCTAAAGTTAGAGCACACTATACCAGCTTAACTTCAACAAATTCTGTTCCTTAACAGCTCTGTCCCCACCCCCTTCAGTTGTTGATATCACAAAATTACATTTTTGTACATTGTGTATCCCAAATCATAAACTAATAATTCTTTTAAAGAAAATATGGAGTTACGAGCTAAAGTTACAATAGCGCTAGCTTTTAGATTAATAATTGTTTTAAAAATGTATTAGTCTCTCAAGTCATGTAGAAAACAAAAAGTGAAATTAGCACCAATTGTTACAAGAATACTACCTTTTATAATTGCTCATGTATTTACCTTTACCAAGATCTTTATTTCTTCATACAGCTTAGAGTTACTATCTAATGTTCTTTCATTTCAACCTGTATGGCTTCCTTCAGCATTTCTTGCAGGGCAAGTCTACTGGTAATAAACTCCCTCGGCTTTTGTTTTTCTGAGAATTTTATAATTTATCCTTCCCTCTTGAAGGACAGTTTTACCAAATACAGTGTTATGGGTTTAAGTTTTGGGTTTTTCCCCCTTTGTAGCCCTTTAAATATAGCAGTTCACTGCTCTGGTCTCCAAAGCTTGTGATGAGAAATCTGCTGATCATCTCATTGAGAATGTCTTGTATGTGATGAGTTACTTCCCTCTTGCTGCTTTCAAGATTCTGTCTTTGGCTTTTGATACATTGATTATAAGATATTCTCAGTTGATTCTTTGAGTTCATCCTATTTGGAGTCTGTTAAGTTTCCAGATATTGGAATATTGATATTCATATGTTCCATCAAATTGGGGGGGGTGGCCATTATTTCTTCAAATATTCTCTCTGCTCTTTCTCTATTCTCCTCCTAGGACTCCCACACTCCCATAATAGATATGTTGGGGTATTTGATGGTTTTCTATAGGTACCTTAGGCCCTGTTCACTATTTCTTCAATCTTTTTGCCTCTTGTTCCTCAGATTTCATATTTCCATTGTCCTATCTTCAATTTTACTGATTCTTTCCTCTTCCTACTCAAATCTGCCTTTAAACCCCTCTAATGAATTTTTCTTTTCTATTATTGTACTTTTCAGCTCCAAATTTTTTTTTAGATGTTTATTGTAATTTCCATTTTGTCCATTTAACTTTTTCCTGACTTCTCCATGTTTTCTTTTAGTTCTGTATCTCCAAGGCAGTAGTTTTAGACTGTATCTAGTGGATCTGCCATCATTTCTTTTACAGGGACCATTTCTATTGATTTTTTTTTCTCCTTTGAATGGATTCCATGTTCCTGTTTCTTTATATGCCTTGTGTATTTTTTTGTTGTTGTTGAAAACTGGGCATTTGCATTTAACAATGTGGTAACTCTGAATGTCAGATTCCTCCTTTTCCCAACGCTTGCTATTTTTTGCTTTTTTTTTTTTTTTAAGTTGTTGTAGGCTGTCTCTGTGCTGATGGTTAGGCTCAATGAACACCAAGAACAAAAAAACAAGAAGAAAACTACACAAAGGTACATGAAAATCAAACGGCTGTAAACCAGTGAAGAGAATAGATCTTCACTCTGGCACTAACAGTTGATTCCAGTAGCAGATGAATCCAGTTTCCAGTTTTTATCCCTACATTCTCAGGACCAACATCCTTGCACCCCCTCAGAGGTACCAGAATCAATTGGCTGGAATCCCCTCCTCAAGGGTCTCTGCCCCACCTTTACAGGGAGGCTGTCCTCTGTGACCCTGAGGCACCAGCACCAACACCAGACACTGCTTCCTCTTTAGGGGTCCAAGTCCAAGCTTTCTAGGGCCCTCCTTCCAGGCTTCTAAATGCTAATAAACCCAACTGCTTCCCTTTGCTCTCTAACCCTAGGGGTCAGAGCTGCTTTCTATTATGACCACCTCTGTGATGCCTAAGTGTTCTCTTTGCCTGTTTAGACAATTCTTTACATTAAAATTCTACATTAAATACTGTTTAACAGAAAAGAATGATTGCATCTTGTTAGGTAAAATCATAAACTTTCAAACATTATTGTCGTATGGAATTTCAAGTATGTGCAGAAGAACAAGAGTAAAGGCTAAGTAGCTAGAGGCTGGAATGGGTTACATGTTATTCTCTCAGCTTCAAGTATTCGCCTTTATTCTCATCTTTGTGATTTGGGGCTCTGCCTGGTGGGTGCCTGATAGACTCTACCCAAAGCATGTGCTACAGGGAGACAGAAGGCTAGAGAGGCAACAGGGCACTTCTCCCTCTTGTTTTACTTCCTGTTCCTACCAACATCATTCTAATAATGATTCTTCACTCTCCAAATTAAAAATGATTCCCAGGAGTAGTAGTTGGTTCAAGTTACCATTTGCTTTTCTCCATCCTCCCGGAGGTAGCCTCACTGTGCCCTCTAAGAGATTCAAGCACCAGCTGTCTGGCATGTTCTTCTCCAAGGTCCAAGGCCTGGCTCCATGGATTTTCTGACCTACTCTTTCAATTCCTGAATTCTTTTCTGAATTCCTGAGGCAACAGCACTTCTCAGAGATTTGCTTGCCAGCCTTGTATGGGGTCTTTTCCTCCAAACTCTCAGGTACCAGTGACCAAACCCCTCAGATGTCTGGATCCACACTCAGTAGTGCCTCCCCTTCAAGCTTCTAAATTTGATGAATCTTTTTTCTTTGTCCTCACAGCCCTAAGTGAGGTAATTGCTTCTCACAATTACCACCTTTGTGGTATTTTCCTTTGGTGTTTTATAGCATAAAGATATAAATTACATGAATTCTTTTAATATCAGATATGCAACCTTACATATAGGTTATCTTAACTCTTTAATCTGATTTCCTTTTGTCTTATCCCTGTATTTTCAGAGATCTTCAGTAAAGGCTAAGTTATATGTGTCAGTGCTTATGAAATGTGAAAGATCTAAACTAATTCTTCTTTATCATTTATCATTCTGATATTTGTGCCACTTTATCTGAGGGACAGTGTTATAGAGAGACAGAGATGGAAGGCGAGAGATTCCTATGTCCTTTACAAGCTACTAAAAATTAGCCACTAAGAAGCTAAATGTCCTCATTTATAAAAATACAATTCATAGGCCGGGCGCGGTGGCTCACACCTGTAATCCTAGCACTCTGGGAGGCCGAGGCGGGCGGATTGCTAGAGGTCAGGAGTTCGAAACCAGCCTGAGCAAGATCAAGACCCCATCTCTACTATAAATAGAAAGAAATTAATTGGCCAACTAATATATATAGAAAAAATTAGCCGGGCATAGTGGCACATGCCTGTAGTCCCAGCTACTTGAGAGGCTGAGGGAGTAGGATTGCTCAAGCCCAGGAGTTTGAGGTTGCTGTGAGCTAGGCTTAGGGCATGTCACTTGCTCTAGCCTGAGCAACAAAGCAAGACTCTGTCTCAAAAAAAAAAAAAAGGAAAAAAAAATTCATAGAGTTATTTCAGATATCCATAAAGTATTTATGTGGAAGCATTTAGCAACTGTAAGTATGGTATAAATTTTCACTATTGTTACCAACTGTGACTAAGTAGATGGAAAAGATGATGAGATAAGAGAGGTGGAAAGAAGAGAAATTACTGAAGAAAGTACTCTAGAGTGGTTTCTACCCACTCACAAACAGAATGATAGTTTATTTTTTTTTAAAGTGGACCTCTATTTTTTTCCTATTCCACTGAACTCTAATTCCCACTCTATGTAGCAAAGATCCTTTTTGCCAACGAGACAGAAGCCATTTGTTAACATACAGCAAATACTGTTTATTGCAGACTTTCCAGCTGACTCATGTGAAAAAGGCACTATGAAAAGTAATGAATCTAGATAATCTCTCTAAATGGATTTATGTTAAAATATACAACATTCTTACATAACATCTGTTTTATATATGTGAAATAATATAACATTTAATGACAAAAATCGTGTTTCCAAAAATAACATTTGTTGAAGGTTAGGTATCTTTCTTTTATCTATCTAGAATCTTTCACAGGATTAAAATATGTGTAAATTAAGCATTTCTTATTACTAGAAAGACTTGACACAGATAAACACATAAAATGGCCCCAATTTCCTTTTAACTACTTATATCGATATTCAGAACTGAGGCCTTCATTAAGCAAAATACTGTAATGCACACCAATGCAGGCTACTTCCTCTGACAGATTTTGAGCATACATGACCTCTTTCCCACTTGTGCTTTCTCATATACAAGAACACAGTATACATCATAAGCAGAATATAAACTAAATCAAAATACAAGCTATACAAGGAATTGCAATCAACAGAGCCATACAAATGTCTTGGGAATGCTCCATAGGTTCATATCTGCACGTCCAAGGCCTGGCTATGCTTTATAGTTCATTCACATGTTTCAATTTTTTAACTATTGGCATTAAGAACTTTAAATAAATCTAAATATTATATCATTGAATATGTCAGAGAAGAAACCTAAATAAGCAGAGGCTAGCCTAAAGTGAGCTATACTCTGAATGACAGACACAATATTCACAGGCAAAATTCAAACTGTTTAGATTTTGAATCATGGATAATATCTTTGCTTTGTTGTAGTGAATAAATCCACCACTGTCAAAAAAATTCCTGTGTACACACTGAGATGGTGATGAAATAATTACTCTAATAAAGGAAACCTAACCTTGGTAAAGCAAGAAAAATATTTCCCAAGGTCAAAAAATTCAGTTTAAAAATTTTCAGTTTTAATAAAAATCATGATTCCAGAAGTGAGTCCTCTGCTTACTCAGGTTTGTGTTGGTTTTTTACGGTGATAAATTATCCCAAGAAAAATGAATTTGACATTCCCTTCAAGGCTTCTTAAAACAAAGCGTGTTGGAATAATGCCAAGAATAATGGAGTTTAAAAACAAATAAACAAATTAATGACTGCTTCCTTCATCAAAAGATTCCACTCCTGAATCACTAGCAGCGGCACTGATTTTTTCTTGTCGTCTTCGCATGATTTCTTGCAATTCAGAGCTGCCATTGTTATCCTGAAAAATAAACATGGTTCAGACAAGATGGTTACTAATTTGCATAGGCTGCAGGTTATGTACTAAAATGGTTCAGGATAAAGGTCCATTGTGGTTTTTTTTTTCCTAGTATCTCCTTTGGAAAACTAAAGGCTGTCCCTCATATAAGTGAAGCTTCTGGACTTCACTAACATAGCACCATTAATAATTTTTCATTTTATAAAGTGTCCTAAGGCAATTCATTCACCATACCTTTCATATGAACATGATAAAGATAAATCTATAATGCATATGGTATACTCTAGCTTTCCTGGGAGAAAGAGGATGTGTGTATAATAAGCAAACTGACATGGTAAATTATCAAAGAAACCTTTTTGGGTCAAGTAAGATACTGATCTGCCCTTAGGAAATTTAACTCAGGCCAAAGAGAAGGTTCAGAATTCACCCATTTTCCCTCCATGTAGTTTAACCATCTGATCATGCCACTTTTCTCCTTTCCTATCCCTATTACAATCCCTGTGTACCCTCCCCTTATTACGCTCTCATCCACAGAAGTCTCTGGCTACACAAGTGAGTAATCTAAAAGATGAACTAGATCCCAAAGAAGGGTGAGGTGGCAAGGTGGTTGAGGAACATGAAGAACCTCAGGTAGTAGCCTCTGCCTCAATTCACAGCCAGAGGAATAGGCAGCAAGAGACCAGCATGAAGTGGGCAGTGAGGGTAAATGACAATGATAGAAAGTTCTAGAATAAAGGAATTCATAAATTTTAGGAATATGGAATTTTTTAACATACCTTTAAGAAGTCATTTATATACTCTCAACAAAATTAGAATATATAATGGTAACAAAACTGTTTGAGAAAAGATATAATCCTTATTCATAGTCAACATATAGAAAGTAATCACATTAAACATTAATACAGAATCCCCAAGATCAATGTTGTAGGAAAATCTTCCAAGGAAAATATAATTTCTCTTGATTGAGAATGGCTAACAGGGTTATAAAAATGAAGATATTTTACCTGAGTTATTTAACTGTTAAATTTATATAATACCTGCTATAGATAATTATGTACCAATTTCATGCCAAAGCCTATATATCCTTTCATTTGAATCTCAGTATAATTTTCATGAAGCTATTAAGAGCTGCGAGATGTAAGAGTGGGAAACTACTACCCTTACATAGCTCATTTTAAGTAGAATAGGATATTGGAAGCTTAAGTATATTTAATCTAGAAAACATTTACTGCTTTCATTCAGACAACTATGACTCAGTAATTACTCCTTAGGGCTCTCTATTTGCAGTGATCCCCCTGATATACATATTATACTTAATATATTTTCCCTGATTATTTAGATGTATAACCAGGCCTAAGACACACAACCTGGATCTTACAACCTTATATTCTATTAGAATCTCCAAACTAAGTATTAAGAACAGACCAAAGAGCTCTGGCCTTTTAAGGCATTTACTCAATCAAGTGAATTTCCATTATTGTGTTAAAATTAAAATTCCTATAGAAGTAGGTAAGGCATATAAAATGAGAACATTATTTTTTTTGTTAAAAAAGTGTATGCTCAAGCTTCATTTTATATGAGCATTTATAACAAATTAATCTCCTTACAAATGGTCACTGATGGTCTTCAGTAACAAATTTATAAAAGCTGAGCCAAATTTAATTCAGCTCTGTAAGAAAGAGAAATTTGCCAATAGGGACATAAATAGTTGTTTCCAAAGCTTAGATCTACAGTCCACGCTCTTGAAAAATGCAGGAAAAAAACAAAACAAAACATGTTACATTGACAAGTCGTACCTCTAATGCGGCTTTTTGTACAGTGATTTGGCTAAAGACTCTGGCCCCTTCAGGACAGACTGTCCTCAGTTCATCTTTATTAAGAGAGAAAAGTTGTGCACCATTTAATACTCCAAGACTATTGACAGTCCTGAAAAAAAGAAAAAATAACAAAGCATTAAAATATTGCCTAGAAAAAAACAAAAGAGAGAAAATTTTCTGTTCTTGCTGGTGACCTCTCTAAGTGTTCCATAGGCTGGAACTCTTACTTAATGGTGCTACAGTGCTTAGGGCAATGATAAGGTTCTGTTATGATGATGACCCTGAGGCTACACAAAATGACTGATTATGAAGTATCAAAAAGGAACCAATTGGGTTTAGTATCATTGTTTAATACCAACTCCTTCTAATTTGGTGTTTCATAGAAGGAACAGATAACTTTCTAGTAATCTGGCAATTGATTATTATACTTCATTTTTTAATTGTTGATAGGTAAGTTTATAAGATCTCAAGGTCCCTTGAATATGTATTATTCAAATAATTCATTGTACCCAATACACATAAAATGTTTATAGACTTTTAGATGATAAATAGAACTTTTACCATTTATTTTTAAAAAAAGGTCTATTAAGATTAAGTTTGATGATAGGTAAAGTTATCTATATTTTTATTAATATTTGTCTTTGATGCTCTACCCTATAGCAGGAGGAAAGCTTATGTTGTATGCCCTACACGGTCTGGGGAGTCAGCTAAGACCACGGCCCTATCCTTCGTAACCTGATGAGGGAGAAAGAAAGCTACCAGGCCTCGAAGCTGCTGACAGTTTGCTTAAAGAACCAATGATGATAATTGCAAGGCTGTGGAAACAGCCCAAGTGCCCATCAATCCAAGAGTGGATTAATAAAATGTAGTATATGTATACCATGGAGTACTATTCAGCTAAGAAACAACGGTGATATAGCACATCTTATATTTTCCTGGTTAGAACTAGAACCCATACTACTAAGTGAAGTATCCCAAGAATGGAAAAACAAGCACCAAATATACTCACCAGCAAACTGGTATTAACTGAGCAGCACCTAAGTGGACACATAGGTACTACAGTAATAGGGTATTGGGCAGTGGGAGGGGGAAGCGGGACAGGTGTATACATACATAATGAGTGAGAGGTGCACCATCTGGGGTATGGTCACACTGGAAACTCAGACTTGTGGGGGGACGGGGTAAAGGGCATTTTTTGAAACCTTAAAATTTGTACCCCCATAATATGCCGAAATAAAAAAAAAGAACCAATGATGAACAGATACTACCAACTGGAAAATGGGGTGGCATTAAATGATGGTTATTTTTACTTCTTTCAATTCTTTTTTTAGCTATGGATAGCTAGTCATTTCCTGAGTACGGAACAAAGTATGTAATCTGTACTCTTACATTATTAAGAGTCATTTGTCACATCTAAGTAACCAAATTGAAAACAATGTTTTACACAAAGAATTGCAAAGCATTCAGAGAGAGACTTACACAGGGTTGAATCCCTTTGACTGTAACCATGCCTTCACATCCTCTGGTGTGGAGTCATAAGTGATATTGATAACTGGCACATTCTGCCGTGGCACATGGAACTTCTTCTGAGCGGCACTGCGACCGATGGTCAGTCTGTGGATGAGTTCATCCTGCACTTCCTCCATCTGAGATTTCCTTCCTAGACACCAACAGAAAGCAGGTTATTTTTGAAAATCCCTAATATTACATCACTCTCTCTAGAACCCCAATCCTAATAATCCTTTGACACATGTAGGATTTACAATCTAGTGTTCCTACCATCTTAATTGTCTATTTACCTATCTCCTTTCATTAAAATATAAGCCTGAGGAGTAAAAGAATTTATCCCTATTTTGATTGCTTCCATATCCTCAGCACCTGGAATAAATGCTTATTGAGTAAATGAATTCTACTGACTTTTCCACTGAGAGAGACCTTGAAAAATCATCATGTACAAACTCCTTAAATAACCAGATTAAAAAAAAGAGAGGCCAAAAGCAGAGAAATGATCTGTCAAAGTCACATTTTAATTAGTAGAAGAAGTTTGCTAGAACTAGATCTTCTGATTTTCAGCTCAGGGCTGTTTTAATAGCCAAAGCCATAGGAAGTACCTTTGATTAACTTACCTAACTATCCTGGCTATTTTATACTAATGAGAAAGATGTGTATATGAACATACTGTTACAAGGAAAATGGGAAAGAAATAAAAGTATGGGAAGGAGAACAATGTGTTTATGTATTTTAGAAATACTTGCATATACATACATAGGTAAACTACGTTACCTGTATGTGGCTTTCAAGAATTAAGAACAAAGAACTGATATAGTCATCCAATTAACTAGTGACCCTGACAAATGGCAATTACCTGGTCCCTAAGGGAGTCTTTTGTGACCACTGTTCTATGATCCCACCCATGGAAAAGTAAGTGTTAGTAAGTGTTTGGTGTCTCTGAGAAGTAAGATAAAGTGTGAAATAACTAGATAGAGTTACTTCAGTCTAATTTATTTTAATGCCTCAAGTATTTAGGAAATTTCTTCCAATAGAGGTCAAAGGGGAAAAGAGAAGGGTTGATGGAAGGAAGAGGGGGCTAGAGAGAATACTATCGATCATTGCATTTAGGTAATACATTACATACATATTTCATTAGTTAACTTTTTATGGAGAGAATCATTATGGCCTTTGTTCTTGTTTTTATTTATTTATGTGGTATATTGCATTTATAGATTTGTGTATGTTGAACCATCCTTGCATCTCTGGGATAAAGCCCGCCTGGTCATGATGAATTATTGTTTGATGTGCTGTTGAATTAGGTTTGCTAAGATTTTGTTGAGGATTTTTACATCTATATTCATGAGGAATACTGGTCGGTAGTTTTCTTTTATTGTTGTTTCCTTTCTTGCCTTTGGTATCAGGGTGACATTGGCTTCACAGAATGAGTTAGGAAGGATTCTCTCCTTCCCAATGTTATGGAATAATTTCTGCAGTATGGGTATCAGCCCTTCTTTGTAGGTCTGATAAGATTCAGCTGTGAATTCATCTGGTCTGGAGCTTTTATTGTTGGATGATTTTTTATTACTGTTTCAATCTCATTGCTCATTATTTGTCTGTTCAGGAATTCTATTTCCTCCTGGGTGAGCCTAGGGAGGTTGTGTGTTTCTAAGAATTTGTCCATTTCTGCCACATTTTATAGTTTTTAGACATATGAAATTTTATAGTATTCAAATATACTGTTTTGTATTTCTGTGATGTCTATCATGACCTCTCCTTTTTCATTTCTGAGCTTATTAGAGTCCTTTCCTTTCTGCTTCTGGTCAATCTAGCAAGAGAGGTGTTAATTTTATCTTTTCAAAAAACCAACTTTTGGTTTTATTAATCTTCTGTATAGTTCTTTTGTTCTTGATTTCATTTAGTTCTGTTCTGATCTTAGTTATTTCATTGCTTCTGTTGGGTTTAGGATTGATTTGCTCTTCCTTTTCCAGTTCCTTGATACGGTTCACTAGTAAGTTGATTTGTGACCTTTCTATGTTTTGGATGTGGGCATTTAATGCCATTAGTTTTCCTCTTAGGAATGCTTTTGCTGTATCTCACAGATCTTGATAACTTGTGTTTCCATTATCATTTAGTTCAAAGAATCTCTGATTTCCATCTGGATCTCCTCCTTGACCCAATAGTCATTCAGCAATAGATTGTTTAATTGCCATGACTTTGTGAAGTGCTGAGTGTTTCTGCTGGAATTGATCTCTAATTTTATTCCACTGTGGTCTGGGAAGATACATGGTATAATTTCTTTTTTAAATTTGTTGAGATCTGATTTGTGGCCTACGATATGATAGATTTTAGAGAAAGTTCCATGAGCTGATGAGAAGAACGTATATTCGGTTTTATTTCAGTGGAAGATTCTGTAAATGTCTGTTAGACTCATTTGTTCTAGAGCTCTGTTTAAGTCCATTGTGTTTTTGCTTATTTTCTGCTTGGAGGATCTGTCCAGTTCATTCAGTGGGGTGTTGAAATCCCCAGCTATTATGGCATTACTGTTTATCATGTGATTTAGATCAAACAGGGCTTGCTTTATGTATCTGGGCACTCCTGTGTTGAGTACATAGATATTAAGAACTGTTAAGAGTTCTTGTTGGATTTTCCCCTCCACCACTATATAGTGACCATCTTTGTCTTTATCTACTTTTACTGTTTTAAACTTTATGTTATCTGATATAAGAATACCTAGCCCACCTTTCTTTTGGTTTCCATTTGCCTGGAAGTTTTTTTCTCAAACCTTCACCTTGATGTATGAAAGCATCTTTGCGGGTTAGATGTGTTTTCTGGAGACAGCAGGTACTTGGCTTGTGATTTTTTTTTTTATCTACTCAGCCAGTCTATGTCTCTTCAGTGGAGAATTCAAGCCATTCACATTTATTGAGAGAATTGACATTTGGCGTAGATTTCTGTTAAATAAATTCTTGTTTCGTTTTACCCATTGAGCCACTGTGGAATCAGCGTTCTAGACTCTTGAGTAATTTTAAATAGGTGGGCGTCTCTTATTTTGTGTATAATGTAGGTCTGGTCTTCACAAATTCCTTCAATGATTGCTTATCTGAGAAAGTCTTTATTTCTCCCTCATATAAGCAGCTTAGTTTTGCCAGATAAAGAATTCTAGGTTGGCCATTATTTTGTTTTAGAAGATTAAAGATGGGTTCCCGGTTCCTTCTGGCTTGTAAAGTTTCAGTTGAGAAGTTTGCAGTTGGTCTGATAGGTTTTCCTTTGTAGGTTATCTGCTGTTTTCATCTTATTGCTGGAAGGATTGCCTCTTTCATGTTTACTTTGGCCAGGCTAATAACTATGTGACATGGTGACTACCTTTTCACATTCAGTCTCTCAGGAGCTCTGTGTGCTTCTTATACCTGTATATCTCGATTTCTGGCCAGGCAAGTTTTCCTCCATTATTCCAAGAAATAAGACTTTACAGCCTTGTGTATTATTTTCTCTCTCATGGATGCCTACAATTCTTATATTTGGTTTCTTTACATAATCCCACATTTCATGTATGTTTTGTTCATGTCTCTTGCTTGTGTGTTATTTTTCCTTATCTGATTTGTTTAGCACATAGGTGTTATTTTCAAGCTCTGAGATTCTTTCCTCTTTGTGATCCAACCTATTCTTAAGGCTGTCCACTGTGTTTTGTAGTTCCTTGAATGCCTCTTTCATTTCCAGTATTTCTGTTTGGTTCTTTGGTAATACTTTAGTTTCTTTGGAGAACTTTTCCTGTATTGTTCTTGTGGCTTCTTTGTGTTGGGTTTCTATTTTCTCTTCAATTCCATTGAGTTTTCTTACAATCCATATTCAGAATTCTTCCTCCGTCATTTTAATCATTTTGTTTAATATAGTATCCATTGTTGAGGATTTAATGATTTCTTTTGGGGGTGACTTTTGCTCTGATCTTTCATGTTTCCTGTGTTCTTTCATGATTCTTTCTCATCAGGCTTCTTGGCTGAGAACTGGGGGTGCTAGGAGTGGTTTATGGCCCTATCTCTAAGTCCCCAAGTGTCGTTCCTTGACAGTGTTGAAGAGAGGTGTGCTGATCTGGTATTGCCTAAGGAGTATTTCAGCAAGTTGGGTTACCTCTGACCTGTTGTCATCACCTCTTGGCAATGGAGACTAGAGAGTTTGGTCCCACAGCTTAAGCTTCAAAGTGGTGGATTGCACTTGTGGGTATGACTCCACTGCTCTCTAACAGCTTGAGATGGAAGGCACTGTGTTAAGCTATGGGGTTACACTCTCTCTCGTTGATTGCAGTTTGTGTGGAGGAGCCAGTTATTGAGCTAATCTGATGTGTCTGTGGTAGGCTCTGGTCCCCCAAATGGGGTATATGAATGCCCTGATCTTTGGGAGGGGCCTTGCCACTCCTGAGGGTTACTTGGACCCTGTTTTCCCTTAAAGTGGGCGTAGGAGCAAGATAGATTGCAGCTGGTGCGTGCAAGCCTGGGTGGTGGTGTTGTTTGACCTGCCACTAGGGGAAGATGCTAATATTTATTCAGTGCTCTTTTGCCACACTTGGAGGGCTGCTCCTGATTGGAGGAGTCAACTTGCAATTGCTGAGGTCTCTGGCTAGGTTTTTCCTTCCTTGTCCGCAAACCCCAATGTTGGCTGCTGCCTGGACCCTGGAGAGCAAGCCCTGGAATTATGTTCTTATTAGATGGCCTAAGCTGGTCCGGCAGGCCAAATCAACAGGCTGCCAACTATTTCTTCCACTCCAAGGTCCCGCAGAGTCACACCTCTCACACAGAGAAAGCAGTTTTCCTTATTCCGTCCTAGCTTCAAGGTCAGGGTCCGCCATGCCCGGCATGAAAGTCCCTGAGCTGGGGGAGGGTTGACATCCAAAACTGCAGTGTGCAGTAGCGTCTCTGGGCTGGGGACTCCAAAGATGGCAGCTGACCGCCCATGGAGAACTAGCATTAGGGGCAAGCACTCAAGAGTAGCTGAAGCCGGTTTGGCAAGCAGAATCAACAGGTCATTATTTTTCAGCACCAAAGTCCTACAGATTCATGCCAGCCACAAAGAGAAAGAGGTTTTTTTCACCTCTCCCCACCCTAAGGGCAGAGTCCACCATGACCAGTATGAAAGTCCCGGGCTAGGGGTGGAGCAGTGGCTGAAACTACCACTGCTGCAGAGTCTCCAGGCTGGGGACTCCAAAGATAGTGGCCACCTGCCCCTGGAGACCTAGCGTTGGGGGCAACCACTCACGAGTCTGCCTGTTGAGTAGGCTGAATCAACAGGCTGCAAGCTGTTACTTCGGCACCACAGTCCTGCAGTCTCACATCTGCCTAGCAGAGGTTCCTGCTCTTTTTGTCCCACCCTGAGCCTGTGGAATCACCAGCAGTTTCCAGGTTCAGAGTCCCCTTTTGGACCTTCATTTTCTACACTCTGGTTCCGCTAACCACCAGAGGCAAAGTGTCTGTCTCTAAACTCCCTTCCGTGGTCGCGGGAAGTAACCACTCAGACCAGTCGGTCATCCACCCAGTGCAGTCTCAGTGCAGAGCACTGGAGTGTTCAGAATGTTTCCCACTATTGTCTCCTTTCCACAGGGTCTGCGTCTGTGCCACAACTTTGCACCAACTGCAGGCATGTTCCTGTCTGAATCGGTGTGGAGATCTGTTGGGGAGCCAGGCGTCCTCATTGTGGGTCAGATCACACTGTGTTTGCTGGCCTGGCGGGCGGCCCTCCTGCATTGCTCTCTATTCCCTATTGTATTTCTCACACTCTCCAGTCTTTGCAAAGGTTATCTCCCTTTCACCATTTTTGCTGCACTGTGTGACCCATGCTGTTTCTCTACAGATTCACAACACTGTTCTGGGGTGCGGGGAATGATCCACTCGTGTGTAGCCATTTGAGTTCTTCACCTCCTTTTCTAGGAGCAGTGAGCCAGGAGGCCACCACTAATCCCCAATTTTTTCCCCTCCATTAGTTAACTTTTTAAAATCATTAAATCATATTGCCATATACCATATGAGTACATATCAAAGGGATAAAAAAGGTATCACCACACCAAAAGATTTATTTTCTTATAGACTGACTTAGCTACTACATCAATCATTGCCAGTTCAAAACATAGTCTTCTTCCAGGGAGCATAAAAAAAATCTCCTTCTGATCTTTTATGTACTTTTGGCTTTCTTTCTTTCTTTTTTTTTTTTTTTTTTTTTTTTTTTTTTTGAGACAGGGTCTCACTCTGTGGCCCAGGCTGGAATACAATGGCACTCTGAAGCTCACTGCAGCTATGAGCTCCTAGTCTCAGGTGATTCTCCCACCTCAGCCTCTTGAGAAGCTGGTACTACAGGCACACACCATGGCACCTGGCTAATTAAAAAAAAAAAAAATTTGGAGAGGCGAGATCTCATTATGTTACCCAGGTTAGTCTTGAACTCCTGGGCTCTAGCGATTCTCCCACCTTGGCCTCCCAAAGTGCTGGGATTATGGGCATGAGCCACTGTGCCTGGCTTTTGATTTCTATTTTCAATGTTCTAGCACATAACAAACAACAAACCAGACTAACTTTACACCTCTTTCTAAAATAACACTTCTGATTACAAAAGATTAAACTAGAATAAAAGGACTAGCATTTCAAAGGAAATGGAAGAAATACAAAGCAACTCAAATGTTGGTATCTTCATGAGTGATAAGAGGAGAACCTTTGGGGATCTTGCAATAAATCAATTTGAATAGCTTATATGACACACAGTTCCAAGCAGCTATTTTGAATAGGCAACACACAGTTACACTACAGCAAAAAGGAGCTCACTCTTGCCACTTGCTACATTTTTTAAACAGGCATGGTAGGGTTATTTTTGCCTTGTTTATTGCTATTTGATAACATTTTTATGAGTATTCAACTCTCTAGTTCCCTTCATTTTATTTTTACCAGAAATTTAGGCAGTAAGCAGAAAATGTAGGTAGCATGAATAGGCCTATTTTCAGAGAAATCTGGCTGTCAATAAATATATACTTAAACATGTCTATCAGGTTCCAAAAGACTGTTGAGAAACCTGAGCATTGATTCAGAAAAAAACTGTTCTACAAAATGCTATCAAGAAATATTTGTTTTATAAAAAGACATATATTTAATGTCGAACTATACTTTCGAGATATCTTAAAAAGGAACTTTACATAAGTAATTGCAAGATTTTGTTATTTTAAGGAAACAAATACATGCGTTAATTTTGGGAGAAATGTTTATATTTTATATTCCAGTGTCACCCTTCTACTTATGAAAAACAGATTTGAAAATGGTGAGTCACAATTATCGGGAGAATTCTCTATCTTTAAAAGTGTTCAAACTATGCCTCTTTCCCATTAGGTTATTCTTGGTTTCTTAGAGTGGACAAAGAACAAACTGTCCCAACCCACACACTGTTCCAAATGGGGACTGGATGCCTATGAACTCTGATCCTAGGCCTGGAAAAAGAGTATCACAGTGTCAAAGATTACTGTGCTGACGTATCAAAGGAGAGAAGTGTTATAAAAGTGTGGTAAGAATAAAGAAAGGAACAGTCATTTTTAAGAGGGAATTAATTTATCCTTAGAGAAATCAACAAAAATATTTATAGAATGTTCTCATCTTAAAACTATGTCTTTAGAGTCTTTGACAAAAATAAATAAAAGCATCTTTTAAAAAACTCCACACATATTTTAAAAACTTAGTAGCATATTATATTATAGTTATATACACTTATATGCTCATACACGCATGGTTATTTTTGCTGCACAGAAAGTGTTAACCACTTTTCCCAAACTTCATTTTTCCTTTAGTTTTCTGGTAAAGTCTAGATATAGATAAGGTTATTTAACTAGGCTACACTTTGGGAGAGAAAGCAATGTGTAAAAGTAGGCTTGTGCTTGTTGCATTTAACCAGATTCTCTAGAATAGTTAAATAGTAATAGTTTAAATGTCTTCATTTAAAAAAATTTTTAATGTATCAAGAATGACCTCAACTGAATAGATGTTGAGTATGACTTACTGAGATGACAAAAAAACAGTGCAGTGAAAATAGGGATGTGAAAGATTCAATAATTTTGGAACATGAATCTTAAACATCCAATCTCAACTATAAAGTTAATATTTTAATACATGTATCTGGATGTCAGAGATAAGATTTGATATGCAGACTAATTTTGGAATTATTCCTTTTCCAACAAGAAATGGAAACAGATTGATAATTTACAGTAACAGCATGTTTATATGGAGACAATAATGCAGAACCCAGGAGAGGCCCACAGTGAGGGACTGATAGATGGCTGTCTCTTTCTCTCTTGCACACCCTTTATATACTTTTGTCATATAGAGAAAATATGAAATATCTTCCTGGCTCTACTTTCCCAAGAGTTTTTATATATCAAGTATAGGTAAAGCAAAGTAATTTTATAATATTTTAAAAAAACATAATTTGGAGATTAAATAGACATGCCATATACTATTAATACAGGGTAAAACAAAATAAAATTATTTTAGAATTACCTTCAGTTTTCAATATATCTATACTGCTGCTCACCAATACAAACTAGAATAATCCAAAGTTGGCCATAGTGTCTTTTCTTTTAGTTTATTTAAACATAGTTTTCACAGAAACCATTTTATGAAAAATCAAATTTAAATTTATGCAAATACGAAGTTGAAGTCTAAATCACACGAAATCTGAATTTGGAGGGTAAATCTGAGACTGCTATTGGCAGGTGATTATATTAACTAGTGTGATTGTGCATAGATTTGAGAATAGCAAATATGAGGAAGAAAAGCAGGGAAGTAAGGATGATGATGATAACAGCAGTAAATATTACTGACTGTTTATCATGTCATACATTAGTCAAAATCAACCAGGGTTTTTCAATGTTGGCAACACTGACATTCTGGGCCAGATAATTCTGTTGTGGGGGGCTGTGCTGTGCATTTTAACATGTTGCCAAACATCCCTGGCCTCTGCCCGTTAGATGCCAGTAGCATCCCTCCGAGTTATGACGAGCAATGTCTCTAGAAAAACTAAATGTCCTTCTAAAACAAACAAACAAAAAAAACCCCTAAATGTCCCTATAGGAAGGAGGACGGTGCAAAATCACCCCTGGCTGAAAACCACTGAACTAAATATTTTATATGCATTACTTTATTAAATCCTCACACTTATCTTGGGAATCAGACACTATTATCTTTTCTCCACTTTTCAGATATTGAAGTATAGAGAGGATTATTGAATTGTGGAAGCTCACATGGCTGGTTAAGTGCTTTTTCACTATACAAATTCCAGTATATCTGGCTCCAGAGTATGCATTTAACCATCATAATATATTGGAATATGAGTAGAAATACATATGTTAGAGAGTGAAGAGAATTTCCTCTTTTTCCAAATTACGTAGAGGATGGGAAACTAGGTGAAAATCTTTGCAACCTATGAAGTACCATGCGAATATAAAGGACTATTATTTATATTTAGTAATATTTAATATCAGTAGAACCAATAATAAATAATATTTTACTTAGCAGCGTTTCTAATTCACAGAAGAAACTTTTTTGCCTCCCTGGGAAACTTACGGTCCACTGGAAGTTGCTTGTGTCTCTGGCTATCTCGCACAATACTGCCACCACTGTCACTGGAGCTGCTGTTCTGACGGGTTACATTTGCTGGGACCTTTGACACGGGAACAGGTGCTGGAGCAGAAGGTGGAAGGGGGACAGGAACAGGAGCTGGTGTTGGAGGAGGTGATGGAGCAGAGGGGGTATCAGCTGGTCTTGGGCCATACTCCATCCTTTGTTTCTATGAAAAGACAAATAATTAACTTGAAAAATTTAAAAATATAAATCTAGGCTAGGAAAACAAATAATACTTCAATCAGATATTGTTGGCTATTTATTTGTAAACCAATAACAAATTTATCTCTAATCCTATGTGGTATAATGATCATTACAAATCATCTTTTAAACATTCTACATATTTGTTCAAAGTTAAAAGATAAGTTAAGAAGTCACAAGGATAAACCAATAACAAACAGTAGTACTGTAGTAATAAATGTCAAGAAAACTAAATTTGGACTTGGAATCACATAAGACCAGGATATGTTAAAAGATTTCTGATTATTTTATAATTTGTACTAATAATAATTTCTAATTTTACTGGAAATCTATAAATGTCAATAGCATAGGTATCACTTACTCCTTATTTTATATAAGTATATGTTCAAAGATTTTTAATTCTGTTGTTTCCAACAAAAAGTTTTAAAATGTTGATATTAATTTTTCCAAGGAATAATCCTTTCTACCATCATCTTAATGCAAATTTATTAAAATTAGAAATTTTGGTTGTTAAAATGGAAATATTGTGGGGTAGATGGTTGTGAGGGTAGTGGTATGGTCTTTGACTGCAACTCACAAGCATATACTAGAAAAATGGTATGTTGAAATCTGTATAACAAAAGGTAGATGTAATAAAATACTTTTCAACATTTTTTAAATCATGTTTGCTAGGCCATTATAAAACAGCATTTGTGTATATTTCATATTAAAATAGTTAAGACTTAAAAATCTAAACAAGATAATTTTAATAGATAAACTGCATTGTTAAGAGGCTCCAAATTCTCAAAAGGCACATTACATTTTCTTTGTAGAATTGAAGATGCACAGCAATGACTTGTAATTGAGGTAAAGTTTAGATAATGCACCAACACAATTTTAATTATTCTAAAATTTAGGATTAGCATGTAAAATGTAAAAAACAAACAAACAAAAAAAAACCTTTTGGCAATCTGGTCCTTCGATTAGAACAGTATTTACTTTTTGGTTTTAAATTGGCCCAAATATAAGATAGCATTGATTTTTAAGAGTACTCCCCAGTTTCCACAGATATCTAAAACAAAAATGCACACCACACACACACACATATCATTTTTAATTAAATCATCACTCAGAAAACAACACACCAATCTTCACCACAGTCGCCTTCATGGCAAATGATTAGCACCTGTGGAAACCTGAGTGGGAAGGAATCCTCATTCTTTTCTGCTGCCTCTTTAAAAACTACTACTCACCAACCAGTGGGGTGTAGAAAGTGGGAAGGGTATTATGCAAGGATGGAGTTAGAACTGTAAGAGGTATTTATAATGCTGGTAGAAGATATTTGGAGTAGAAAGAGAGCAAGAAGGAGAGAGGCAGGCAAAGGAGGAAGGGAAGAAGTAGAGGGATAAGATTCTCCAAGCAAGCCATGGAGTTAGAGGGAACAGAAAGAGATTGCTAGTCCCCACATTCAAGGCCTAGAAACTGAATATTCAGTCATATATTAGAGCATATCATTATTATAATTACATCCCACAAAATAATCTTCCTATATTTGGGCCAATAAAATATTTAACGCAATCAAAATACAGCAAACATCTCCAAAGTGTAATACTCAGCACACACCAAAGTCATCTGATTAATGTACAATGTTCCGTCGACAAGAATGGTCCTTTGCATGTAATTTCATGGAGAGCTAATGAATTCTCGCATTAGGGTTTCAAAGTGTCAGAGTTTAAATTATTGCTTTTAACACTTAAACAAAAAAATGCCATGAGCTCTGCATTTCATGATATGATTCATATTTTCTGCTTTCATAAAAACAAGAACAGCAAGGTTTTGCTATCCATCAAATAACACTGGAAAAAACTGCATACACTATGTGTTATTGCCACAATCAAGCCTGAAGACAAGCTCATCAAATGTTCTGTGCCTCATTTCATTCATCTGTCATTACTACATAATGCAACTTTATCAGTATGACCTAACAATAATAGGCTTAAAAAATATATATATTTGATTAAAGTCAAGAAAACCCATATGAAGATTTTTCATGACTTATGCCATAAATTATATTTACTTGCATATTTTCCTCTTTTCTTAGTCCTCTCCTCTTGCTTCATGTTTCCAACGTCTGATGTGAAAAAGAGGAAAAAAGACTTTCCTTGAATCATTACAACCTGTTCTGAACGGCAACCAAGACAGCTTTTCCATAGAAACTGGTTTGTAATTCTTGGTGTGGAAGAAACAGAATCAGCATTGACTCCTGAAGTCACTTTTCTGTGCCCCTTCCTAAGTGGCTCCACTCCTCTTTACCTGCCACCCAGCTACCGCTCTTTCCTTCATTATTTCTGTCCCTTGGCTATTAGTGGTTGAAGCTACAGAATTGATGATTCCAATATACCTTCAACTTATGTAAAGTCCTAGAAAACAGAACTGCACTATGAACTTTTGTCTCCTAAACCAATGGAACTGAAGCTCCAAATCCAAAAATGAAATTTTGACCAGTTCTTCTCGGTTTGCCCAGGACTTTACCAGTAATTAGCAATGAAAGTCCCACATCCCCGGTAAAACTCAGGTGGGGGCAAACTGAGATGGTTGGTGAAGCTGGTGTGGACCCACTCTTGTACTGTAATTGTCAATTCCTAACTCTTGCCTGTGATTCCATGAATATAAAGTTATATTTAAAACAAAATCTCTCTTTTTGTCTTTCTCTGAAAGACAGAATTACTAGACCTCATAGGAAATTTACTTTCCTATTGATAATTAAGTTGGAATGAGTCACTTTTCTTTAGCAACCAAAGCTGAGTAGAAATTCTCAAGGATTAAAGAATGTTATTGAGAGATAAGCTCCTGATTCATACAAAATACTGCTTTAGAGGGGAAATTATGCAAGTAAGCCCAACAAAGCCATTAAAATTGAACTGTTCTTAAAAATTTAACCTACTCTGAATTATACATTTTTCTTCTAAATTTAGTCTCTTTGGAACTCTGAAGTGAAAACTAAGCACAGCTGGAACATTTTGAGGGTGTTAAGTCCAGAGATTGAATTTTAAAAATTATATTAAAAAAGAAGTGCCATGAGGGAAAGAATGTGGGTTACCTCTGATAGCTCGCCAAGTAATTGCTATTAGGAAAATGGAGCAAATCACATCAAATAAGAAAATTAACACAAAAGATGGAATTAAAATAATATCAATTATTACTCACAACAAATATCAGGAAATGTGAGCAAATTAGTTTTTGACAGTAAAATTACCTGCCCACAAATCAACCAGTGAAGGAGCTTGTAATATACAATTAATTTCCATCACTTTTATCTAGTCATGTAAAACTAATATAGATTACAATACAGTACAAATGGTGTAGAGTATTTCAAAAGTATCTTTGTGTATTAAAGTATTATGTTAAAATATTAAGATATAGCTTCATTTTATTCTTATATCTTATATAGAATACAACTAGAGTACATTAAATGTAAGACTAATTCTTATTTAATAGCTGATTTTGCAAAAGGAAATACTACATGCATCATGGTGTGGTTTTAATGAGCTTTAAACTTGTAAGCAGTCTAAACACAATTTTTTATAATTATGTACATGTGCATATTGGATAATAATTACTTTACATATGTATAAATATATGTATATATTTGGAGTGGGTATTATTCAAATTATCACAGGAAATATCTGAGAAAATGTCAATACATGAGACAGGAAAAAAAGTAAACATCCTTGTCTAAAAACCATGCCTTTAATTAATGAGCAGAGTCTTCTGAAATTAATTTTAAAAAAACAAGTTTTAAAGAACAGAGTATTATAAGGAAATTGGCCTGGCTGGAAGAAAATGAAAGCATCTCTAATCACTCTCTATCCAGCAGTATCTAAATATCTGGATTGAGCTTAAAAACAAAACATTCATAACATGAGCTGAAATTAGTAGGGTTAGTTGTTTAGTAGTCACCTATAGACAATATTTCCGGTTTTAATACAGGGCTACTTAAACATCTATATAGAGACTAAGAGAATTTTATCTGTAGCTTGAATTGTAGAAATCACACAACTGATCCCTTCCATTTCATAGCCATGTAAGTGGGTGCACAGAGAAATAAAATGCTTTCTTTAAGGTCACACAGCTGGTTAGTGGCAGAACCAGAACCAGAACCCTCATCTACCAATATCTAGATTGGGTCTTTTCCCACGGTATCACAATATCTCTTGCTAGAAAATAGAAAAAACAAGAAACTTTTTTGTGGAAATCAAAAGACCATGAAGACTAGACATTCATAATTATTTGCTATCTTGGTGGAGTAAGAATATCTATAATAATAATAAACACACAGACTTAAAAATAAACAAAAGACTTCTTTATTCTGGCCATCGTGTATATTAGAAATAACAGCAGAGGGGTTGGTTTCTGCTCCCGGCACATAGCATGAGAATCTAAATAGGTAAAAGGGTAATTTTAGTAGATGAACTGTCATAGTGTTAGAGGTCTGGGAATCAAGTCAAAAGAAAGATCAGGAAACTTTATGTGTCAAGTAGATTCCAGGTGGGGAGAAAGCAGCCTGGATAGCCATCTGTTGCCCAGATAAAACAGGACAAAGCCCTGGAATGCTCTACAACAAAAGTCTTATGAGAAGACATGTCATTTCTCCATAATCTCTCATAAGCATTTCTTTCTTTTCCCCGTGGTTTCATTCGATCTCTTCTGATGTTGGGTATCTTTTGAAAATTCTTTGTTACCCTCTTTTTTATCTTTAAAACTTTGCTGAAGCCATGGGGGAAACACATTATGTGGGAATGGTTGTCTTTAGAGAGAGCTGTTAAAAATCACATCAAATGTGAGGGTATTAAATAGCCTGGCCTCTCAGGGACACCAGGTGGCAATTCAACACCTACTCATGACTGATGCCAGGTATGAGCATCCCTGTCATCAGAACAGGATCTCTGACAAAAGTGTGTGAACAATAGGCAAGGGCTGCACTTGTGCTCTTCACCCAGAAACTGCCATTATTAATATACACTTTTTACAAGAAACATAAGGGTATAAAAACAGGAGTCACAACTGTGTCCATTCAAAAAATATTTGGTGACTTAGAGATGTTGTGTGAAAATAGTTTATACCTAATTCCCTTATTTACACCATTTATAAAATGTTTTTAAGTAAATCATCTTGTTTGGGTTATTAGCCTAAATGATAAAAAAAAAAAAAAAATGAAAGAATCGGTGAAATCCAGGGAATGGATACATAAGGTGAAAATCCAATTCCAAGGACTCTGACTGTTCAGATCAGCTTTTATCACAGTATATTTGCATGGTAAAACTATTTTTAGAAAATGTCACTTGAAGCTTTCATGTAGTGAAAACCTACACGTTTATACAAAAAGAGATGACAACTTTTTGTAATCGTTATTCCCTAGAAAAATAGAGGGCATCGGAGCATGGACTCTGGATCCAGAGTGCTGGTTCCCAATCCTGGCATCAGAGCATGTAAATGTGGGCAAGTGATTTCTCCTGTACCTTTGTACCCTATGTAAAATGTGTCTACTTCACAAAATTGTTGTGGGAATTAAATGAATTAGTATTTGTGAAGTGCTTACACAATGCCTGGCACAATAAGTGTGCTGACCACTGGCATTATCTACTTTGGAGTATATTATCATTGCTATCTATGAATGTGAAGCAAGCTTAAGCAATAAATCATGAGTTGTATTCCTACAGCACAGTACAGGGGTCTAAAATATTTTTGTCAGAGGAAGTTTCTTGACATGTCTTCAGACTTTTGATATCACTGGATGGAAGAGACAGATGGAAGGGGAAAAAAGTATGTGGGCTATATCTGAGGAGGAGAGAAGGGTCGCTGCTCTTGATACAGCAAGAACATAGGAAAGAGCAAAGCCACAGCAGATGACTTGGGAACTCGATGCCACACAGTAGGATTTCACAAATAGTATCTGCTCAGTGTTGAGCTTTTTATCATTCTTTTTAGCAAGCTCAAGATACTGGCATTCAAATATTTGAGGAATAAAGGAATAAAAAGATGGGTAAGAGTAAGACATACATTTGTAATCCAGTTGAGTTTTATAAGGTTAGGGTATTAGGATCACTGGAATCTACATAAATACAGTAGTATCTTTACTGTCATTCTGAAATAAACTACAGAATTTTTCCTTAGACATTTTAGATAAAGGTATCTGGTGATACTGTTGTAGAGATATAAAAATAACTGGCATATATTTCCAAGGATGTTTTCTTTTCCATCTTACTCTATTCTTTTTTTAAAAATGTTACAAATGCTTTGGAAATAGGAATCCTTTTAGAGTAGGATGTATGCCAGATAGCAGATAGCAAAGCAGATTGTCAAACTTGCTTCTTAAAATTTGTACAAGGTCTTAGTGGTTTTGTTAAGCTCAGTCCAATTTTTCCAGGAGGTGTTAAAAGGCAGATTGTTTTTAATACTTTTTAAAAGTACAGCCCTCAACCTAAACACACACACACACACACACACACACACACACACACAGAGGGCTTCTTTACCAATTTCTACATGCACTACTACATTTATATTTGCATTCAGAATTTTTCAAAAGACAGTTATATAGTGTTGAAAAGTTTAAAAGGAAAAAGCCAAAACAGGCAATCCCCACAAGGATCACAAGTTTCTATTTACACAGAGTAGCAAAATAAACTCATGAAACTTGTGAACATTTAAAAAATGTATTGGTTGTGCCAAAGTTGACAAAAATAAAACATGAGGTTCTGTTCAAGAAAGGGGAAATATGTTTATGTTCTCCAAAAGTACTCTCCCTACCTATGATATGTATTAATAGTTTTGGTTCAATTTTAGACAGAGCAACCTTTAAACAGAAAAGTCAACTTATGGCTCAAGCCAGGAATCAGAATTAAAGAAAAAGACAAGAATGAACAGTAGACAGAAATGCTAAAAGACATTACAAAAGGCATTACACTCCTTATGAAATCTCAGATGGGAGAAAATACTTATAATTTATATTATTTGCAAGTATAAGTATCTTATTTTATCAAAGTTTGCTTATACTTAGAAACCACACACACAAATAAAAGCAAATTTGGATAATTATTTTCAACACATAAAATATAAACTCTTGGCTTCTGCTCATATATGGGAATTAGATTCCCATCCTCTGTGAATAGTACATCTCACAGATTGTCACGAGTTGAATATTAAAAATAGTTGATACAGCTCAAACAGCATATACTCTAGCAGTGTTTTAGTCATATGTTTCAAGCACAACACTCTATATCTCTACAGGAAAGAATGAAGAACTGGCATCCATAAACTAGACAGAAGCCTCAAACTCAGAAAAGTAGAAACTAAAGAAAGAAAAAGGTATAAAAATTAAGTTAGAAAATTCACTTCAAAAATCCATGGGAAATGGAGGAGACCATACCTTGAATAACTCAAACTCCTTCTTTGGCATCAACAGCTAATGACAAATGATTAACATAAATAAGTACATAATACATACGCACACCAGGTCAGCCAAAACATAAGCACAGCAAACAATTTCCATTGCCAACCCTTTAAGTTATTGATATACAGAAACTATACACTAGTTCTTTATTTTAAATGTACTTAAATGAATGGTTATGGCAGCAGGAGTTTGACCACAATTCTAGGTTTAGACAGTCTGAATTTTATTAAGCTTGGATCTGGCATAAAAATTACCTATTTCACTGCATAGTCTATGTAGCTTCTACTCAAACTGATGACATTAGTATGGAATCAGATTTGATCTTTTTCTCAAGGATCCGAAATTAAAAGAATTCTTCCTGGGGGAATAAGAAAGAAGCCACCCTGGGTTTAGAGGCTGTACATGAGACCATCCATTCTGTCTCTGTTGGCAAATCCGACTCGAGAGAGCCTATCATAGGTCTAAAAATCCCAAGAGTTTAACAGTAGGTGAATCCAGATGTCAGAGTGAATGAGATGACCAGAGTTACTGACATTCTGAAAATGTGGCAATGGGCCTCAAGAATTATTCAATAATCAGGAAGAGAGAACCTAACCTATCTGATCTATATCAGAAGTATATTTTAATCTTAAAATCAAGAGAGGAAAAAATATTATAATCCAACTGAACAGGTACTGATGTAGTAGTGTAAGGTGAGATGAATACAAGTTCAAGGCTGGTCAATGGCAGCCCATTTAGGAGACTCTGTAGGCAAAGGCCAGTTAAGATGAACTGCTGGACACTCCAGCCACTGTCTCAGTACCATCCTCTAACGAGAGGAAGTCACTGGTCGATAGGAGTGCTGTGGGTGAAAAGACAGAAGCACTATTTCTCTGAATGTCAGAAACATTAGAGACTGGGGAAAAAAGCATTCAGAGAAATAGTCACTTACTGCTAAACATTTTGAACAATTTCCTGAAGAAGTCAGAAAACATATGTGTAATTCTTCCCTGTGTCTATCATCATTGCCCTCCAATTACTCTAGAACAAAATGTACATCCAATTAAATTTTAAAATGATTAATATACAAAAGGTACTTAAATTCTGGCAGAGAGTGATACATTTATAAATTTGTAATATTAAGCTTTGCTAAGAAATCAAAATTACCTGTATTGTATGTGTATAAGGTGGATCAGCACGCCCCGATCCAGATTCTGGAGGTCTCACAATATCCAAAATGTTATTTGGCACAAATCCAGAGTCTCCACTTGCATTTCGAACTTTCCACCACTGCTTCCTATCATCAAGTATCTGTCATCATGCATAAAAATAAAGGTATAATTTCCATATAAAAGTCAATATATGAAAGAAGTCAATTTTTATTCCTAGACTTGAACTAAGAACATTTTTTCACTTCTGATAAATTGACTCAGCATCAACATATCATCAACATATCATATGATTCTCAGAATTACAATTTAAGTTACATTTATTAGTGTAGAACACATAAGGTATCACTATGGTGAATCTACCCAGGTCCATATTATCTCCCAACAATGTATCTTCATTATTTGAAGGACTTATAGAGCACTAAGATGACTCTCTTAGAAAGTCCTATTATCTCCATCTTGGGGATAAGGAAAAAAAAGTATAAAAACCATATATATATATATATTTTTTTTTTTTTTACAAAATGTGTTGTACATATCATTCACCTTCTACATTCAAAAAGATGAATGCTCACGCCTGTAATCCTAGCTCTTGGGAGGCCGAGGCGGGCGGATTGCTCAAGGTCAGGAGTTCAAAACCAGCCTGAGCAAGAGCGAGACCCCGTCTCTACTATAAATAGAAAGAAATTAATTGGCCAACTGATATATATATATAAAATTAGCCGGGCATGGTGGCGCATGCCTGTAGTCCCAGCTACTCGGGAGGCTGAGGCAGAAGGATCACTGGAGCCCAGGAGTTTGAGGTTGCTGTGAGCTAGGCTGACGCCACGGCACTCACTCTAGCCTGGACAACAAAGCGACACTCTGTCTCAAAAAAAAAAAGATGAATGCTCAATTATAACCTAACAAGGAAATTTGGGTGTCATGGTAAACTATCCCTAACATTAACACACGGACTGCTGAGTACATTTATGCAAGGACACTAGGATGAAGGAAGAAAATGTTTTCTCTTATTAAAATAAATGCATCTACTTCTGAATTAATAACTAGTTTGATTTCAAAATGTATAAATCCCAATAGAAGAAAAAGAGCAAGAAAGAAAACAAAGTAAGCTAAGTAACCCACACCACCCCCATAATCCCCTTGCTCTCAGAAAACAGATAAAAGGGTAATTTAAAGCCACCTCTGTAGAAGGGGTATATATCTACCACTTCTAAATAGACATAGATATCTCAAATATACTGTATCTTTAGTAATATTATACTGAAGAATACTTTCCCGACCTTTTTATTTCTTGAAGGAAGGTTTGGATGTATACCAAAAGAGGAATACAATAAATCTACTTTAGTAAGAGTGTAAAAAAGGTAAAATTCCATCACCTCTAAAATATCATCCTTTAGAACTGAGAGCTCACTGTTGTTCCTTGCCACAAAGTCATACTTGGATTTGGCATATTTCTTGGGTTGTGTTTTGAGTGGGTCATAATTTCTATGAAAAGAAAGGAAAGAGATTATCATTCTGTCAGGTCTTCCTAAAGGATGAAAACAGAAATAAAACATTAATCAAGCCAAATCCTATCAGAAAACATTCTGACAAAAATAGTACTTCAGTTTTATTATATTTTACAGAATATGAGAAATAAAAGAAACTTTGGAGTTCTTACTACTAAAATGAACAAACTATGGCTAGGGCAAAAATTAATAATGCAAAATCACAAGGCTAGTTGGTGCCGAGATAAATTTAGAATTCAAATCTAGAATGCAAATGTATGAATTCTTTGTCTAGTAAATACATCTACTGGATATGGTTTTATTAATTAGCATCTCTACCACGAAAGAACCAGGATAAAGAAAAATGTTGGTATTTTTCATAAAATTAAAGGAGACTGAAGATAATTTCTATAGTGGTAGTTTAAGTTATATGTTGATTTCACTAATTCAAGCCATGTCTCAAATTTGTTTACCAAATATATAAATTTAAAAATTATGACTAGGTGTCAACCTTTAGGAAAGCTTTGCCCAGTCACCTAAATTGCAAGGGAAGGTATGTGTTAAGTACAAGACCCATTATACTTCCAAATAAATAAGTAAATGAACAAATTTAATTCACTATAAACTTTTTTAAAGATTAAGAAAAGGTGTATGGGCCCTTTTTGTACAAACAAGAAAACTTCTTTTAAAAGCCAAGTACTTCTTCTAATTATTAAATGAGCACTAATAGATCTAACAACATAATTAAAAATTACCTTTATATAAAAATAAAACTTAATGCATTAAAAATGCGTATTTTCTTCATACATTTCACTAATAAAGTAGTATGTTTAACTCTTCTTTATTAATTTTACCCCCTAGTCCTCTCCACTTACATTGCCACATTTCCTCACACAGCTCTACAAGGGAAAAAGCAGACAGATGCTTGGTTATCCTGCTCCTGTCAAGTGGCCATTCTTTGTGCTGCCTACCAAGTTCTCTGGAATGCTGAGTGATACAGGGCCTGCAGAACCTCTGCAGACATAACATATCCTGTCATTATAGATATTTGCTGCCTCTTAGGTAGTCACACTCCATTGGAGGAGGGCAGGGACAAAGAAAAAAGATGACCTGTACAGCACAGCTTATACATAAGCATATAAGCATAGCTTACTGGCTAGATTTAGTATGGTTAAAAAAAAAAAAAGAATGACAGACAAAGTGAAATTATGGTCAGATAATCATTGTATTATTAATAATAATAATTTTTAAACTGTGTTCCATGGATTTCCCACCCCTATCCCTACTGGAATAGGGATGGGAAATCCACTTTATACACATTTAATCTATTAAGATTTCATGTAGAGGATAAAAGAAATTCAACCACCCCAAAAGGACAATGGTAATTTCAGTTTTTTATCTTTCTCTCTTCCCCCATGTTCCTCTACCTTATGATCTAGAAAATGATCGCTACTAATAATGGAGAATTAAGTATACTATAACAAAGAGTAGAATAACTCCACCACTAAGTATCTGAATCAGTGAGTTAAAAAGAAAAGTTTACTACGGTTGTCTTTAAGGTTTTTCCTATCTTGCCTGCCTCAAAAGTGTTTATCCGGCATGCACTTATATAATAAAATGCTTTAGAATTTATGAACCTTTATGTTTTACAGTTTCTTGCCCTCTATATATTAAACCTGGATATGACACTTACCATAGTTATCAGTTGGAAAACCAGAATTTATAACTTTTCAGAGGTAACAAAGTTTTTAAGAGAGAGAGGATGTATCAAAATGTATGGCCTCTGTTTCTGATTTGGAATAATAGATATGCCATTTGATATAGAGCAAATGTAGAGACAGCAATAATCTGAGAACTCTAAAACACTAATTGCATCTGAATAGCAGCAAACTATAAAACTCAAAGATACAGGCTCTAAATTCAACAAACAGGTATTTTGCTTAACAGTGAATATACTCTATATCTTATCTACTGCATTCCTGGCACAAAATAAAAGTCAATAATAGTAATTATAAAAGCAAATTCCACACCTCTGTGTATTTTATTCAGACTACAATTTTCAAATAGTTTTTGCAATAATGATGACAAATTTTCTTAGCAACAAAGAACATCCATGATCTTGGTATCTATCAACTATCCCAGTTCCTATTATGACCAAATGAGAAACAGGAGCCATAAGAACTGAGATATAAAAATCTACCCATTGTTCAATATATTTTTAAACAAATCTTTCTCTGGCTAAATTTTGACCACTCTGAGGCTACCATCCCTTCATGGAATTTCCTTTACTATATTCCATTTAAATTTTTTATTTATCAGAGGTTACCAAAAGAAATCTTATAAAATTTCCCATAGCCTTCTATAAAATGAAGAAAAAATATTGTTAAAAATAGGTGTCCTTTACATCACCTATCCCATTCTATCTAAAGTTCCATGAGACAGATATGTTTGAGAATTTAGTAGCAGGAAAAGCATTATTTATTCAGATGAACTAATATATATTTCTTCTTCCTAATGACAGTAAATGATTGTTTTTCTTTTTGCTCTGACAGCCAGAAATCTCAGATATATTTGAAATTCAACTACAGTGTCACTCTTATACTTCATAAATTTTAATTTTTATCCTCCATCTTGATTTCTTAATCTTGTATTTTATTTCATTATTTAATTTTTAATAGTAATAGCACTTTATCTATACATAATTTAAGTGCCTGAATCCATTCTGGAAGTAAATGAGGTACAAAGATATATCTAAATCAATAAATCAAAGGCACACTCTCCTGATATTCTATAATGGTCATAAAGATCAAAGTAAACTTTAAAAGACTTTGTGGTAAGCTGCCCAAAATGGCAGAGGTTATTCCATAAGTACTACTATCCTTTATAGATCTGCAGGTGAAGGACAGGAAAGGATTGACTCTGAACTGTTGAATACACTATCATGCACTTATTCAGTCATTCAATCAATATATCAAATAAGTTAACACTTACTGAGTGATCACATTGTGCTAGATGTGGTCTTAAAATGGAACATGATAAAAGGTTTTTAGTATCAATATGGATTATACATCTGAGAAATGTACTCAAGTGGTTTTCCAGTCACTTAGCTACAGAAAACCATCCAATTGACTGGAGTGATAGAAATAAACAAATAAATAACTGCTAATCTGAAATATTTCTAGGATATTGACATTTAAGATAGAGGGAAAGAAAAATATTGAGATGAGTACTGAGTTAGTGAAGAAGAGTTTCAAAGAAATAATGTTTAAGCTTCAAAACTCATTTTCACCTGTATCTGCTAAAAATAATTCTACAATTAAAACTTATTTTCACATGTTGGCATTTTCAAAATATATTATTCATTGCTGATTTTTCCTTGTACTCAATTTAATATGTTACTGGTGCTCTCAGAGTAATACCTGTATAATTTCCATGGCAATTACTTAAGCATTACCTGTCACCATCCCTTGCAAAGAACAAAATTTTAAATACTACCTTCCTTAGATTCTATAAGAAAGGAGGATACTGAGAAGAAATAAAGGGCATGTAACTCTCACGGTAAGAGGGACTTTGACAGGAAAGTACTAGGACAGGTTCTCTGACCCACTTCATCTGTCTGATTATCCTCTTACAGCCACGTTAGCAATATTTCACCTCCTTTTCTCTCCCTTTTGTATGTGAGTTGGTGCTATATAAACCTCACTTGCTGGAAAACAAGAATGAAAACAAAGTGAACCTATTCCAGTTCCTTTATTTTTTCTCCATCCCAATTCTCTATTCCTGCCTTTATTAAACTCTTTAAGAGTGAAAATATAGAAAAATAAATGAAATGTAAAACTGGAACATCAAGATAAAATATTATAAGATAAAATGGCATGAATGATAAGGAATTAACTCCATTTTAATATTTAGTTTCTATTGAGTTTAGATATTTCTATCTAAAGGAAGATGTATTTGTTTTTATTAGGTGAAGAGAAGGGTGAAAATTTTTCCTTTGAAAGTTACAGAGCTGGAAAGATCTTTAGAGACTATTGGGTACAAACTAATAGAGAGTTTCAAAACAATTATTCTTTCTTTCTTCCTAAATGCACAGATTTTGTGAGCAGTATCTTTTAAAAAAGGGAAAGTCATCATCCAAAGGCATTTGTGCTAAATGAGAATTACAGACTGAAGGTCCAGACATCTTTTGCTCATTAAAGCCAGTTCTATAAATGAACTGAACCTTTATCAAATAATTAACAGATGGAAAGTTTAAAAGAAGTAGTAGACAATATAGACACTGTCACTTCTTAGCACTAATTCAGAGACAGTTATTCACAGATCTCCAATTGGTGCCCATTAAATGTTACCTATCTACATGGCGATTAGGAGTTGGCTTAAAAGCAACAGCAGCTTCCCCTTGGTCCAGATGGGGTCCTCTTGTGTACATGTTGTTACTGAATGCATATCCATCAGGTGGAGGATACTCGGATACACTGGAATGCTGAAAGACAGATTAAAGAATCACCAAATACAATTTGAACACTCACATAAGTCAACAAGAATGCTCCACTATATTGCTATCAGTTTTCATTTTCAAGTGACTGACCATTATGTTAATAAATTATGAAATGAGAGTGATACATTTATGTCAAAGACATAATTAGAAAAGTCATTAATGCAAAGGCTAATCCTTGCTCTCTGTTTTTAAAAAACCTTCACCACTCTAGCAAAGTAAATATTGTCACAAGAAAATCAACTTTATACATTAAAATTATACAACCCTCTCATTTTTCTCATTTTTAAAATTGTACACAAAACACTATAGTATTTTCGAATTTTAAACAACAGCAGCACTACTATCAGATTTACTGTCAAGGAAAACACAGAGACACAAATACACTGATCTTGATAGTCAGGAGCCCAGGATAAGACAATGCTGGAGTCATTTCTTTTTTGCTACTAACACAATTCAAACATGAACCTACTGGGTGCTACCAAGAAGTCACACTGAGCACCATGGTTTTAAAACTATGGAAGCTACATGCTCAGACTGGGAGTTTGTTAACAAAACACACTACCTGAAGATTTTATATTGTTTCTCTATGTAAAAGTGAGGTATGGGAAAAGCATGATTTATACTGAAGAATTGGAATTCTGTGGGTATTTCAGTTGTTTATGGATTCATTGGGGTAAAATATTTGAAACTGGGAATGTTTCGGAAAAGTCTTGGACACGTGGTTATTGTGGTTAATTCTAAAGTTGGCAGGAGTAGGGCTGAATTTATCCATAGACAGAGTAGGAGATGTGTCCCCAGTGGACCAGAGTTGATGTCAAAATTTCCACATTATATGATTTCTCTGAAATATACACCAGAACACTGCATTTAACACACAAATACAAATAAACAATTTTCAGTCATTTAAATACCTAAGCTCAATTAATTCAGATTAATTCGGTTTATCACTTCCCTAACAGAGAGAAGAGGCACTAAATTTGATTAGGTAATTTTTTATTAAAGGCTGTTGTAAAGGAGGAGTGCAAGAAACTGTTAGAATCACCCACACCTTTTGCCTAGCTCTGATCATAAAAGAGTGAGGTAAGCCTGTATGAAATCACTGGGTCCTGAGACTGACTGGGAATGCTAGAAGGGAGGAGACAGATGATGACAAATGACTAACTGTGATGACTATACAACCTTGTGCAGGGGTGCTGCTGGGTCAGAGGAAGTACAGACACGGAGTACTGTCGCCCATATTTGCCGTTCCACGTCACCCCAGATCCTGAATTACTCGTCTTGTTGTAAATGTATTTATTATAGTAGCAATAGGGTACGATAAAATCTCTTCTAGGAATGATTACACTTTTTATGCATTTTAAATCACCATTACTTGGCCTCTTTTCTGACAAAATCTCAAGGAATAAAATCCCCTAGAACTGCTAGCATGTTTTTTTCATTTCATTTTTTTAAACCTCTGAATAACTACTTAAGTCATAAAATATAGTTTACAACAGGAAAATGATAACTCATTATAAGTAAGGATTCTCAGTAATTCCTTTTTTAAAATTACTTATTCAGTAAGAGTAGACAAACTTATATCCTGGAAGCCCAGAACACATTATTCTGTCCTTAAATATACAAACTGAAAAAGAGCTCACAAAAGTGAATTTGAGGCATACATTATGAAGTGAGGATGTTTTCTTACTTAAGATATGAAGACTATAAGCTGGAAATTTTATTTGAAAACAGCTGTACTGTAACTACAGCAACAGCAAGTATATCAAAATATCAGGTTTGAGTACATTTTCTTTCCTCTAAAAACATTGCCCTCCAAATGGAAAGAAAATTCATAGTGATTAAGCCTAAACTATAAAATACAGGCAGGAACATAGGTGTGTCAACCAATGCTCAGAGCAGTGAGGTCATCTTCTTAATTACTCATTTAGAGGGAAGGACAGGTATGGAATCCAATTCTTTCCTTATATACCAGAGGGGAAAAAATCACATCAAAAAAACAAAAAAGAATTTCAAAGCAGTATATTTGCTTTATTTTTAAAGTTTCAAGAATTTAACTAATCTTTTATATTATTGTTATTGTCCAAAGAACAGTCCCCCAGGGGAATGAGTTTTAAAAATTTAATTTAGATAAATGTTTCCCCTTAAAAGTGGTCACAAGATGTGATCTACTGTGGTTTGCTAATTCATTTCTTCCTATCATGTTTCTATATTATGAATACCTATGATAGCCTGAGAAAATTAATCTAAAGAATGAAATAAAGAAAATGAGAAGGACTGCAGAAGGATCTAGTCATCATTTACTGTTTCTTCTTCAAACTAGATTTCATTCATCCTCAAGTTCTGATCATCCAATTTGTATTTGTTTAATCAATGTTCAATGTTCTTTTCCAACAGAACAAGAAGAGTCATAGAACAGTCATTTTAAAGGAATGTGACAATATAGGATACCCAATTTCATTCTCTTGATTTGCTCCCCAAATAGGTTATACTCTAAAGCTTACTAAATACTTAAAAATAAAATAAATTTTATGATCTCCTAAAGATGTTATGGTGTTATATATCATTTGAGCCTGAGAACTGGAGTCCACAAAAAGCTTTAACTAGGCAAAACAGAAAAAGAGAAAGGGAAGGGGGAAGAGGGAGAGGGAAAGGGAGAAAGGTAGAGAGAGAGAGAGAAAGAGAGAGAAATAGCAGAAAGAGGGAGGGAGAGCTGCTTGAGACAGGCTTAGAGGATAAGATTAAGGGAATTGTCTTGAAGGTCTGACAATGGGAGAGGAAAACAGAAAGAAATAAGCCAAGGGCAATAGGGGAAATCCCTGCCAAAGAGAGAGAATGCCTTCTCAAAAAGGCTTAGGGCCCCAGGCCCAGGAGAGCAGTGGCAGCAGGGGTAGGAGTGAGGGCCAACACTGAGGAGAACATGGGCTGGAGTTGGGCTTTACACAGGAACAGGGCAACTGTCACTAAAACGACATAGGTGAGAGAGAGGGAGCACTCATGAGAAGGTAACATTCAGTCTTTGATTCTAGAACAATCAATCTTCAGATCAATAAAAATGAAAATTCACAATTATAATTACAAGAGAATGCACAGATTATTGTGCTATCTACAAAAGGTGATGCTAAAAAACTTTACCTCTGTGGATAATCTTTTTATTTCTTGTTTGCGCTGATGTTCTGCTACATTTGCCACAGATTCAGCCAACTGATAAAGGTCTTGCTCCATTGGTGCTCCCATGAAGTTCAGCATTGGGGGCTCCCAGCCGTTGCGGAACCGCGGAACATAAGGTGCAATAAACTGTTCTTTTGGCCACTCTGCTCTGTAGGAGGGACATTAAGACATATGAACAATAAATTTTTTAATGTATCCATGCTCACAATTACCTTCACTAAGGAAAGCCACACACACACAAAAATCAAATAACAAAACCCAGAAAGAACACATAGATAATCTACCCTCCATCCACCTTTTTTTAAAAAGGGAAAGCAAATATATTTATGCTAGTATTTAATGGCAATGCAATGTAAGAAGATTAAATTCTGCTGTATGATCTGTTTTCCCTACATTGCCTTAGTTCTCCATTAAACTCAACTATTTAACATGGGTACAGGTTTCTTAAACTTCGTGTGGGAAGGGAGTATGAAGCTGGAAGCATGATAAGTATGTGGAACATATACTTCTCTTCTATCCAAAGTAGTTTCTGATTCTCATTTTTTGCTCACTTCCCTACTATCATTAGGAAACCTCCGGATATTATAGACGTATCTTTCAAAAAAGAAATAGCCTTGTATGCTCTTAAAGTTTATAATTTTTTAAATTATGAAGCAGATAATCAATTTTACAAATTAAATGTATCAGCTTGGTTTTAATCAGCAATTGGTAATCACAATCATTACCCATTCATTGTTTAATAACTCTTGAGTAAGATTTATTTTTACAAGCTCCTAATTACTCATGAACCACAAAAATAACTAGGACAAAGATTATGGCTTCATTTTTGCTAGATTATGTTGCTTCATCTTTCATGTTTAATTCTTCATGATATATATAATATATTATATATAACATATATATAATATATATATATATAATTTTTTTTTGAGACAGAGTCTAGCTCTGTTGCCCTGAGTAGAGTGCAGTGGCATCATCATAGGTCACTGCAACCTCAAACTCCTGGGCTCAAGTGATCCTCCTGCTCAGCAGGAGGGACTATGGGCACATGCCACAACGTCCAGCTAATTTTTCTATTTTAGTAGAGACAGACTCTTGCTTTTGCTCAGGCTGGTCTTGAATTCTTAAGGAGCTCAAGTGATCCTCCTACCTTGGCCTCCCAGAGTGCTAGAATTAGAGGCATGAGCCACCCCACCTGGCCTTCTTTCTTTCTTTTTTTTTTTTTATATTTCCAAACATTACGAGGGTACAAATGTTTTTGGTTACATGGATTGCTTTTGTAATGCTTGAGTCAGGGCTATAAATATGCCCACATACTGTTCACTGTATCTATTTCTACTATGATGAAATCAGCCGTTTTATCTAGATTGTATACCTTCATGATTCTTTTCACTTTTATGAGATTTTAAATCACTTAGTAAATTTATTTCCTAATACTCTTAACAAGTAGGATCCGAAAGGACCCTTTTCTCATGTTAAGAGTCAATACATTTCCTTTTGATGTTTATTAATTTTCTCATTTTGAGGTAGGACCCAAAACAAAGTAACTTAATAGCCTGAGTTATTTTTGTACTATGAGACATGATAAATTTAATAAACCTCAGGGGAAAAAAATTAAAGGATCCTGTCTAGGCTTATCATAAAATTGTAATCTATCTAAATCTAATAGATTTTAAAAATCCATTTATAACGGAATATTATTCAGACATATGAAAGAATGAAATACTGTCATTTGCAGCACATAGATGGAACTAGAGGTCATTATGTTAAATGAAATAAGCCAAGCACAGAAAGACAAGTATCACATGTTCTTATTCATATGTGGGTGCTTCAAAAAGTGGATCTCATAAAGATCGAGAGTAGACTGGTGATTACCAGAGGCCAGGAAGGATAGAGGGGAGGACAGGGGCATAAAGAGAGGTTGATTGTGGGAACAAATACACAATTACATAGAAGAAATAATACCTGGTGTTTAATAGATCAGTAGCGTAAACTAGTTAACGTTACTCTATTGAAACACTTCAAAATAGCTAAAAGAGAATAATTTGAATGTTCCTAGCATAAAGAGATAGATATTTAAAGTGTTGGATATCCCAATCACCCTGATGCAATCTTTATACATTATATGAATGTATCAAACTATCACACGTATGCCCAAAATATGTACACCTATTATCAATAAAAAATTATAAAAATAAATATATTTATGGTTTCATGCCTTACATTTAAGTCTTTTATTCATCTTGAATTAACTTTTGTGAGTGGTGAGACATATGGATCCTGTTTCATTCTTCTGCACGTGGCCATCCAATTGTTCCAGCACCATTTATTGAATGGAGCACCTTTTCCCCAGTGAATATTGTTGTCTGCTTTGTCAAAGATCAGTTGGCTTTATGTGAGTGGTTTCATATCTGGGTTCTCTGTTCTTTTCCATTGGTCTATGTCTGTATTTTTGTGCCAATACCATGCTATTTTGGTTACTATAACCTTGTACTATAGTTTGAAGTCTGGTAATGTGATGCCTCCAGATTTGTTCTTTTTGCTTAAGATTGTTTTGACTATTTGGGCTCTTTTCTGGGTCCAAATGAAGCATAGAATTATTTTTTTCTAGATCTGTGAAATATGATGTTGGTATTTTGATGGGGATTGCACTGAATCTATAAATCACTTTGGGTAATGTGGACATTTTTAACAATGTTGATTCTACCAATCCATGAGCATGATTTGTTTGTGTTATCTGTGATTTCTTTCCTCAGTGTTTTGCAGTTCTCTTTGTAGAGGTCTTTCACCTCTTTGGTTAAGTATATTCCTAGGTATTTTATTTTCTTTGTAGCTATTGTGAATGGTAGCGAGTCTCTGATTTGATTCTCAGCTTGAATGTTATTGGTGTATAGGAATACTACTAATTTGTATACATTGATTTTTTAACTTGAGGCTTTGCTGAATTTATTTATGAATTCTAGGAATCTCTTGGTGGAGTCTTTGGGGTTTTCTAGATATAAGATCATATCATTGGCAAAAAGCAACAGTTTGACCTCCTCTTTCCTGATTTGGATACACTTATTTCTTTCCCTTGCCTGACTGGTCTGGCTAGGACTTCCAGCACTGTGTTGAATAGAAGTGGTGACAGTGGGCTCCCTTGCTTTGTACCAGTTCTTAGTGGGAATGCTTTCAACTTTTCCTCATTCAGTATGATGCTGGTTGTGGGTTTGTCATATATAGCTTTCATTGCAGCACAATTCACAATTGCAAAGATCAACCCAAGTGCCTGTCAATTCATGAGTGGATTAACAAAATGTGGAATATATATACCATGGAATACTGCTCAGCCATAAAAAAGGATGAATCAATGCCTTTTGCAGCAATTTGGATGGAACTGGAGACTATTACCCTAAGTGAAGTATCTAAAGAATGGAAACCTAACACCACATGTGTAATTTAATGTCTTGCTATTAAATTAGAATTAACTGATGAGCACACATGTGTGCAGAGGGAAATAAAACTCAATGGAAATCAATCAGGGGTGAAGAGGGAGGAGGGAAAGGGCAAAAACCTACCTAATGGGTACAACGAACACTATCTGGGTGATGGGCACACTTATAGCCCTGACCTCAAGCGTTACAAAAATAATCCATGTAACCAAAACATTTGTAAATGTTAAATGCCAGCTCTTCTTTTAAAGGTAACTATTCTCCTCTCTAAACCCTTTTGAGTGCTCCCCCTTGCCAACCAACAGCGTTTCCTTTATGACTTGCTCCTGACACTTATCATGCCTTTTATTCCATACACTTCTATCTCCCCTCCTAGACTTCTAGCTTTATAAGGGTTTAGGCTTTTTCATCCTAGTCCTTCATAAATAGAAAGTTAAATAAATGTCTCGTTAGATCCACATACTAAAAAAGAACAATGCTTAATGAATTACAAGTATTAAATGCTGAACACATATATGCTTACCTGGCTTTCATCCAAGTTTCTCCCAATGAAATCCACAGCTGCCGTTCATCCATATTCACAGTATAATTTAAGAAATCAATTGTGTCCTTGGTCAATAGGGGACTGAGTACTGAACTGGCTAACTCAGGCCCTCCTGTTGCCTGTACCACCTAAAATAATAAACCATTTTTCAGCAAAATGACTATTCTTTGTGTATTTTCAAAATGTGTAGACAAAAACCCATGCCAAAAACAATCCCTGATTTTTATCAAATTTTGATGTTGTACAATGCACTACTGAATGTAAAAGACCTTGCCAAATCAACCTGTCTAGCCCAACCGTGTCTTAAAATCTAAAATGAAAGTTAACAGTTTTTTCACAGCATTTGCCTATGAACTGCATATGACTATACTTTTTCTAGAAAATATAAATGGCTATACAGAGAATTCTAAGTCAGGTGATTTTTCCATTTCTGGGTTTTTTGTTATTGTTGTTTAAAATATATGTACCTTTACTGTCAAATGTATTATGCTAAATTTGAAAAATATAATTCCAGAAATGAATGCTGTCAAGAAAAACAAGGCTCAAGTTAACAGCCTATGGCTATGCCTACACAGACATACAAAAATAAAAGGATACAGAGAGAAAGGTATGAATAAAAACTGGTACCCTGAATCTACAGCATTTTTTGCCAGAATTTATTTCTAGACAATATCCCTGGTTTAATATGGATAATTTAATGACCAGCAGACACAAATACACAGGTGCAACTCTCTGATAAGCAAAATGGTGATAAGTGGATGTCCAAAAAGTGTCCTAAATTTACTTCTCAGGAGCTATTTTCTGGCTAAAAAATGGTAGTTATCTCCTAGAACAGAAACCAGACTCATATAAAAATTTCACCTTCTCAGAGATGTGGCACAAGAAAAAAGGAGATGTTCTGAATGGCTCCAGTTACCCAGGTACTCTGAGCACACTATGCTGTTTTATGCCTCTTTGTATTTGCAAATGCTATGCCCAGTTCCCCAGTTTCCTCCATCCTTCAGAACTCTACTCAGGTACGACCTCCTGTGGGAAGCCTCTCTTAACCCCATATTGTCACTCTGATATACCACTCCCCATCCTGCACCCAGCGTCCTCAATATAATTTATGCATATTAGTAACACATTACATTATAATTTGTGGCTTATTTTTCAATTTCCCTTCCTTGAGGACTTGGACAAGACTTATTTTTGACTTTTAATTGTGGAAGACAATTCATTAATGGAATAAATGAAAATAAAGGAAGGAAAATATAGCAGATAAAGGAGATAGGCTGAATCTTATTTGAGAACAAAACCTATTCTAATTACCTGGCACAGTAATTTTTATCTTCCGAGCCCTATAAGCATTTCCGAGAAATATGCAGGGATGACCAAGGGGGAAAAGTAAGAGACTAAAGTAAAGGAGAAGAGGAATATTAAAATCTCTGGTTTAACAGAGGGACAAGGAAGTGAAAGGTAAATAGAATACACTAGGCCATAGTTCCCTCTCAAGAATGTGAGTAGGCATGTGCCACACATGTGTGCTGTGGAATGCTTGTGTGTACATGTGCATGTTGAGGACAGACGGGAGCTATTCACAAGGTTTAAAGCCACTAAATTTTGCCCAGGTGGTACTAGGCCCTGAATAAAAATGTCCCTCCTCGTCTCCCTTGTCCAAGTAAAATGTCTGGGGCTCTTAGGGAGAACATTAAATGGCCCCACAGAGGTATTATGATTGGGAAAAACATTAATAAGGTGTCATTTTTAAGGAAGGCAAAGATAAAAGAAATCAATGTTTTTAGATACATATCCTGATCACAAAGACTAATTTGTATATGTTAGGGAAATCAGTCCCATTATTTCATAGCTCTACTCTGTGTAATGACTAGATATCTACTTATGATCTGTCAAAGAGTGTAAAAAGAATAAGAGCTGGCAGCAAAAACTGCTTTGTAAAAAACACTCAAACTAAGATAGTATCAAAGGCGTTAAAGAATACAAATTTTATTAATGAGCTAGTATCAGTTTCTTTGCATACGTATGGTCTTGGCCTTGATCTAATTTTTTTAAAAAGCTTATATAGCAAGAATTATTCAACAATGACTAGATAAGTAGAAATCTGATCATCTATATATAGCAACAACATATGGAACCATTCATAAATTATTGATGAAATCTTGGACTTTTTATTTTTTTTACCTTCCGAGCCCTATAAGCATTTATGGGCTAAAGTGCCATGGCATCAGCCGAGCTCACAGCAACCTCAAATTCCTGGGCTCAAGCATTTCCTGCCTCACCTTCCCAAGTAGCTGGGACTATAGGCATGCGCCACCATGCCCGGCTAATTTTTTCTATATATATATTTTTTAGTTGGCCAATTAATTTCTTTCTATTTATAGTAGAAACGGGGTCTCACTCTTGCTCAGTCTGGCTTCGAACTCCTGACCTTGAGCCATCCACCCGCCTCAGCCTCCCAGAGTGCTAGGATTACAGGGGTGAGCCATCACGCCGGCCGAAGTCTTGGACTTTTATCTCCTAATCTTATTGCTCAGCTTCTGACATTCATGATGATAATGTTACTTACTTTTCTATATTTTAAAGCAATACTCATTTCATATTCTACTTCAGGTGTTGTCTGGTTATCCCTGAGGAAAGGATTATATTCATCCACCTTAACTGCCTCTTCTCAATCTTCTTTGCTGCTTCTCCTTTATCTCCTAACACTGAAAATGTCCAGGGCTCCATCAGTTCTTCTTTCTCTCTTTTTTTTTTGTTGTTGAGACAGGGTCTTGCTCTGTCACTCAGGCTAGAGTGTGGTGGCATCATCATAGCTCACTGCAACCTCAAATTCTTGGCCCAAGTGATCCTCCTGCCTCAGCCTCTCAAGAAGCTGGAACTACAGGTGTATGCCACCATCCTCAGCAATTTTTCTATATTTTGTAGAGACAGGTTCTCACTATGTTACTCAGGCTATAGTCTTGAAATCCTGGCCTCAAGTGATCTTCCGGCCTCAGCCTCCCAAAGTGCTGGGATTATAGGAATGAGACACCACGCCTGGCCTTCTTACTTTTCTTTATTTATAATCACTCCCTTAATGATATCATCTGATTTCATTGTATTAAATGCCTTTTAAATACAGATGATTCTTAAATGTATATCTCTATGTCTGATTTCTCCATTGAACTCCAAGTTCTTATACTCAACAAGCAATTCAGATTTCTCCATCTGGATACGACTCAATTCTGACAAATCTAAAACCAAATTCCTCATCTTCCTCCAAAAACCTGTACTACCCATGGTCTTCCCACTCTTAGTTAATCATGACTCCATCCTGCCAGTCTTGGGCCCAAATTCCTTGGAGATACCCTTGGCTCTTGCACAGCATATCCAAACTACCAGCAAATTGCAACCAGATAAGATTTCTCACTAACTCCAGTGCTACCTGGTCCAAGCACCATAATCTCCCATTTGGAGTATTTTAATAGCTATCCTAGCCCCATCACTCCTGTAAATTTCTAAACATTAAAGCCAAAGCAATCCTCTTCTGCTGAAAACCCAACTGTCAAAGGTCTCACAGTCCCCTATAAGGACCAGCAAGATGCTCCTATTACCTCACTGATCTCATCTCCTTCTAATCTTTTCTTCCTTCATTCTGTTCAAGTCACAATATCTACTTATTCCAAGAACATTCTTTGCATGGTTCCACTTCAGAACATTTACATTAGCTGTTCCCTGTCTGGAATTCTCTTTCCTTCAGAAATCCGCATTCCTTATTTCCTCTACTTCAGTGATATCTTCTCAGTGAGGCTTTCCTCTATATAACCAACTTTATTCAAAGAGCATAACACTCAACAACGAGCACACACGTGCATGCATTTACCTGTGGTGCTCCCCGTTCTCCTCCCCTGCTCTACTTTTTTGCATTGCATTTAATCTTTAGAGAACGGTATTATTTAAGCATTTATTTAGGTTACTGGTTGTCCCTCTACACTAATGTAAATTCCAAAAGGGTAATAATTTTTGTCTGTTTTGTTACTGATGAGCCAAGCACATGGCAGGCTCTCAATTACTATTTGTTGAATAAATAGATAAATGATAAACAATTAAATCAGAGACAATTCAGGAAATAGAAGAACACCTCAATGAAAAGAATATGGATCTCTGAATGATTTCATGTGGCAAAGCCATCCATCTGGCACTAGAATTCTCATGACTAGCCTATTTTGAGAGAATGAGAAAAACATCTTCATTATTCAAGCTTCTATATATTATATACTAGCATATACTGAAACTCTAGTATCCAATAAATCTTTATTTCTTTGAATTTCCCTGGTTCTGTCAGAGATGTCAGTTTCTTCATCCATAAAATAAGGTGTTTGAACTAGATAATTTACAAGGTTCTTTTAAACTACCAAGTTTCATATTCCTAATGTTAACACAGATGGCAAGAGAAATAGTACCCATGCGAAGTAATGAAGAAAAACTGTCCAGATAATCCAGACAGACACTTGGGGTTAAAAAAAATACTAAGAATGATTACTTTCTTAACTTAATAAAATCTCACCATATTTAATGGAGTAAATAAAAAGTGAACCAAATCTGCAGCACTGGGATTCTGAATATGAGACTTCAATTTGGCCTGTAACATCAAGAAAACACAAAAATATGTTACTAAGATATAACTGAACAAAAGACAGACACTCAGAAAGGTCTGGCATAGACTCAGAGTAAGAGCTCTTTACAACCGGTTTTACTTTTAGTATATTCATCAGCATGAGCAGAATGAGATTATAAAAGTAGTTAGGTTTTTTTTTTTTTTTAAATCAAGAGTACCTTACAACCAAGTCTCTTTGATATACCTATTTTACACTTTGTTGTTTATATTAAAAGCAAATCAAAATGTACATATAAAAAAAATCTATAAAAACACAATTTTATCTCTTAATCAGGAACAACCTGTCTAGACATTGATCTTTTTCATTTACTTCTTCTAATTCTATATAAATAAATTGCACTTACCAGAAGGTTGAATCCATGTTTAAACTTTTGGAGACAATCAACAAATTCATCAGGAGGAGGGGGTTTTGCACGTAGAGTTAAAACACCCTCTGATGAAATAAGTGAGAAGAGGGATAGGTGAGAGAAAAGTGCCAAGAAAATTAAATGAGAAAACAAAAACTACATTTATGTCTGTACAGTTTAATAATCATTTCCGACATTCTCCCTCATTATTCTACCACATCTCATAGTCTGAGTGTAACAACTGAGATCTAAAGTTTGTAAAAAAAAACTTCTCTACCCTTAGGCACTACCAATTGCTCATTCAATTCCAGAAATATATATTGTAGTTCTTCTATATATAAGTCATTATGCTTCTCATTGTGAAGACTATAAAAATTAGTACATTTAAATCCCTGATCTTAAGAGCCTTAATGTTAATAGAAGACATGAATCTAAATAACAGAGATATATCAACTGTTCTGAGAAGAGACTGCACCTGGTTGGGAGATAAGGAAATGTATACCTAAAAGATGTTTCATGGAGAAAGTAGCTTTAAGATGGGATTTTAAAGGTTCATTCAAAGGTAATGTTGTGGGAAAAATATCACAGTTGGATAAAAACAGCATAAGGAAAAACATGGAAAAGGAGACTGCATGCATATGAAACAACAAACACAAAACATGAAAGCGGAGAAACATGAGAATGGAAGGGTAGATCAAGGTTAGACTGTGGATACCCTTGATTGCCAGGGTGAGGAGGTGGACTGAAATTAATAGAACACAGAACTAACATGCTTTATAGCAGAAGAGTGAAGTGACTGACTTAGAGCTTTAAGAACGTTCTCACAGAAGAAAGAGTAGAGGCTTGAAGACTGCTTACAAAGCTGGGTAAAAAATGCTGACAGCTTGAAATGGATGCTGGTTTTGAAAATGAAAAGGGAGCAAAACTGGATATAGGAGACATTGAGAAAATAAAATTGGTGTTGGCTATAAGCGAGAGAATGAAGTCAAAGAAGAATCTGTGGATTTGGATCTGAGTGACCAAGAAGATAATAGACGCTGCATAAAGAATACAGAAGAAATAAGAGGTTTGAGGCACTAAGAAGCAATAATACTTAATTTCAGAATATGTGGGGGGTAAGGTTTTTCCAGTTATACACATCTAGAAGACAAACCTAAAGGTCATATGCTTATTATATAGATATGTGCAAGAGTAAGATTTGGAAGTCATCTGTCCAAAGACTGTCCAAGATTTGGAAGTCACTACAGAATGGAAGGGATTTTTATTTACTATTCTTTCATATATTTCAATCTATAGCATTTTGCCAGAGGAAGTATAAACATTACTTCTATAATTTCAATTTCATACATTTTGAAACCATCTTAAATAGCTGAACTACAGCATACTTCAAAATTGCTTGTATGTGATTTTGTATGTGACCTGAATGTTCTGTTTGGAGTTTTGTGATCAAAATTCAAATTCATTGACATTATAAAGTATTTTAATGAAAAAGTCAAACTTTATACTTACCAAAATAATGAGGTCCTACGTTACAATAAAATAAATCCAAATAAGAGAATAGAGCTATGACTTTAACAGGCACTAATTTTATAATTGCTCATGAAAACTATAGACAGATGATCACTACCTGAATCTCAGAGTTTCTGTGACTCAGGTAAGGCATCCTAGGGGCTTTCTTCATTATAGCCAACTCAGAACCAAAATGTACTCTTGCCTGAACTCTCCTTACTCTTAGCCTAAGTCTCTGGGGCTATCCCAAAACTAGAAAAGGGACTTGGTCCATGGTCAATGGAGTTTTGCTGAGCAGTTCACAAGGGTAGAAGCTCTGTTTAGCACTAGAATTCTGAATAATCTTTAGAAGATTAAGAAAATCTAACTTACCTCCTGGTCCTTTCCTTTTACCTTTCTTAGTTTTCTTCCTTTTAGAAAGCTCAGAAAATGCCTCAGCTGCTTTTTGCAGTTTTGTGATAAAAAATTCAATGTCATCCAAAATGTGGTTTAAGATTTGCTGAAATTAGAAATTTTAGAACAAAACATAAAACAAAACAAAAATACTTTTACCTTAGCTATATACTATTAGTCAATAAAGAACGGAAAGTTGAAAAAAAATTAAAGACAGAAACAACCCCACATGTAAATTTCAAGTTTATCACTAATTCTAAGAAATAGAATCAAACCTAATGTATCTGTGGCTAAAGTGACATTGACATTTTTCTTTAGCTTAATTTCCCTCTATTTTCAATGTCATCAAGAGAGCATTCACAGTATCTACTCAGATTATTATTTCAATTACTCTGATTTTCTCATAGTGTTCTCCCACACAAAGTTAGGGGAAAAAATTCTAAGAAACATTTTGTTAGAACAGCACAGAGCGTTTTTGTTTTCCTAATAAATGTCTCAATAAAGCACTGCCAGTGTTATTTCACAGAATTAAAGGTATACAGAATGTTGTGAGAAACTAATAAACATAGCTAATCTACAGTAAAAGGCATTCATCAGAGTTTCTACATGACAAAATAGAATGATGTACTATGCTTTCAGAAATCACTGAAACAATTTTGATTGTCTCATATACTATAGTCTTAATTGACTTTCTCCATTATGTGTGAAACCTGACATTCTTCTAATTAAAGAATAGAAACTGGGGTTAAATAAACTTTTAAGAGTAACATGTAAGAGTGTGAAGTAAAAATTAAATGCCAAATTCCAAATTCCTTTAAGTATTTGTTTCCAATAAGCCTATAACGTGTATAGTGTAAAAAGTTAATTATATTAACATCATATTCTATTATTATATCACAGGGCATTGTCATTCTATAAAAAAATTACTACAGAGAAATAAAAATAAATACAGAATTATCCTTTATAAACCATTAAAATTTGCATATCTATTCTTTAAAAAAGCCACTTAACTTTTATCTTCTAGTTATTCTAAAATATATTCTTGATAAATGCCAAAACATTAAAAACATTTCAATTATGAATTAAAAATTATGAGAAAAGAAAAACTGGACTATCAGTCAAATCTGACAATGCAGCTTAAATTCCTTTGCAAATGAGTTAATACGCTAGTTCTTCTATCATAGCCCAACTAAATATTAGCAGAAAGACAAAAATAGTCACGGAAAAAAACAACTCAAAGGGCACTGAAAAAAAGGTTTAATAAGACATCTTCATGTAAATCAACTTCATTTCCCTGTGAATATTTTTTCCTCTTAAAAAAAAGCCAATGATCTAAAGATGACTGTTGTACTTACCACATCTCTGTCGATGCGGGCTGCCATCATCTCTGGTGTTTCTTCTTGCTCATGATACTGCCTTGGTTTTTCAACTAGAGAAAAGAGAATCATAAGTCTTTCAAACTTTTACTTAAACATTACCAATATAGGTAATTAAAATATGAAAATTAGCTAGAAAATTGTGTCAATTGCAAAAAGGAATACCTCCCTGGACACACAAATCAAAACTGCTCCAATCATCCATGAAATGCATTCTTGCCACCACTCACAGAAGCACTTGGGCAGAGATAAAGCATCGGCCTGCCCACCTTTATGATGTTTGTTTACCCTATAATGTCTCCTCTATTCTCCCTGTTTCTAGTGTCAGCCACCTGTGAACTAACCCTAACTTAGCACCCTTTAATTCCTTCAGAAGCAAGAAATACACACTAGCATTTAAGCACCCACTTATCAAAAAGCACCTACTTATCAAAAAGTAGCTAAGTTCTAATGCAAGAAAGCTACTGATTTTTATACATTCCAACACTGTGACTACAATAAAGCTTTGAGAGTTCTGACAATAGACTGCTTCTTACAATTCCAGTGTAATTAAGCCTAAAGCCCACAATGTTTGCCTCACTAATATTAAGCCACATGCTTTAAAAAAAGAAATACATACAGGAATTTACAAATTAAAAAATAAATGCATTCAAGATGTTATAGTTGCTCAGTTGGCTAGAGCAGCAGTCCCCAACCTTTTCAGCACCAGGAACCAGTTTCACAGAAGACAGTTTTTCCATGGACTGAGGGTTGGGGAGCAACGGAGCTCCGTGGGGTCTGGTCCCTAACAGTCTGGCCTGGGGGTTGGGATCGCAGGGCTAGAGCATTATGTTAATCATGAAGTCATTATCACGAACTCCCTTCTGGTATGAGTCAGTTAACACTACCACTAAACACAGACGGTTATTACAAATATTTCATAGTAGATTAACTTTTTAGATGTATAGATGGAACAGGAGAAATGTATTACTATGAATGGAAATATAACTCATGATACATCATCATGATTCATGATGTTCAATACAGAGAACTATAAAATATACGGAAAACTCTGTATTGCTACGCCTCCTCTGTACTAACGCTACCCATATTTGAAACGTCCAAAAAAAAAAAAAAGAAGAAGAAATCACTGAGCCTTATGAGATTCAGTGGCTATTAATTACTCTGATTTAATTAAAATTTATACATATGAAATCTTGCCAGTTAGCTGCTGTTTTACACATGGTTAGCTGCTGTCTTGGCTATAGTATACTACTATAGAAAGCAGTAAGTTGAAGTTGAAATAGAGATATTGGAAACTCCAGCTAAGTGTCCCCCCAAAAATCATTTAGATGGCAAAGTGAGGGGGAGATATGGTATTTCTAGCACTTTGTCAGATCTAAGACACTACTAGGAACCTAGTGCCACTGCCACAATTCTACAGAGGTCAGTTTTAGAAGTCAAGGGTAGATATACTCCAGGGATTCAAAGAAGGAGCTGTTTAGCCTGCATCAACCAGAGCCTTCAGAGGGACCATTAAGATATTTCTTAGGGGGACTTTCCAACTAAAAACTAGCCCAGGTCCAGAGAGAACCTGATGTGATAAGTGTGGTCTGTTTGGCCTATTGGTAAATTAGAAGCTTTGAGAACCTTATCTCATTGTAATATAAACAAAGGACATGACAGAGAGTATTTCAGACAAAATCTAATGAGAGCTAAGAAATCCCTGGAGATGAATTCTCTCTTTGTTGTAAATTGTGTTAGGTTTAACATATGTTTTTACAAGTTTGTTCATAATGTCTGTAAACTTAGATTGTCTTATCCTTCCTCCAATTCAAGGAAGACTATTTTGACCACTCTCAAAAAAAAAAAAATCCCCTGTCCCCAAACAAAAATACCATAGGTACACAAAAAGTAGAAAACACAATAAACTCCTTCGTGTTTTAAACACAACATTTTAAATACAAATTGGATGAATAGAAACTTATATAATTCTTGAAAACAGAAACACTTATAAAATTAAAATAAATGTTACTTTATTTTTGAAAATGAATGCCTCAAAGATTTCTTTCTTTCATCCCTTTGGTAGCTGTGCTTACAAGTAGCCCTCAGAAAATACCTTTAAGAATACAAGAAACTAAAATAAAATGGAAAACAATTCAGAGAAAAAAAGAACTCAAAATGAGAACAACCATATATTATGCTTCCTAGTCTGTGCTAGGTACTGTTATAGGCATTATTTGCTTTCAGATTCACAGCAACCTATGAATTACTACCTCCATTTTAGACATAAGACTGAAGTATAGACAGAGAACTTTCCAAGATCACACAGGTAGAAAGATCCAGTTCTTGCTTCAGAGCCTTTTTTTTAAAAATTTCAGCATATCATGGGGGTATAAATGTTAAGGTTACATATTTTGCCCTTGTCCCCCCTCCCCCCTCAAGTCAGAGCTTCAAGCATGTCCCAGCTTTTGACACACAACATTCAAAGTAGAGTCCAGTGTCACTCATTTTGGTAAATATGTTATATTGTTTAACTGCACTGACATATATTCTGTATGAATAATACTTGACTGGATAAAGAATAAATGATTTAAGAAGTCCCACTTCCCACTGGAGTAGGGGGCAAACGAATGAGGCTCTAGAGTTCACCAAATTCAAATTTGCTGACTCAGAATTTACTCATCCTTAAAATGAAGACACTTAGACCAAACGTATTTTAAGCCATTTTCTGGTTATGAAAATTTCAGATTCTAGTAAAATGTTCTGACATATAAAAAGTTACACTAAGTTCTATGCTATAATTGTTTTTTAAAAAAATGCCAAGGTAAAATGATGCTACATGCACAGGGCCCTTTTAACAAGTTTAGCTAGATGATGAATGCCTTTCCCCCTCTCCGCTGCCAATACCGTACCACTGTCCTCATCCTTCCCATTACCCAACAAATTTGTCCCAAAAGGGACAGCAGTTAATAATAATAAATGGAAATAATGTAAGTACAACCTAAAAAAAAAAGGAATCTCCTTGTTTGGTATATATTCTATTACCATCTTTTTCTCAGTCAAGTGAAATTTCCTCTCTTGACATTAAAAAAATATATATTAATACCATATTTATTAAATAGCTGGTCTGAACTCTCACAGATAGTAATCTTAAACAGTATTCAATGCTTAACTTTCCTTTATCTAAGATTTAGTTTTTTAAAACTAACCTCAGTCTTCAGCTCAGAAATCAGCATCAGAATTTGAAAACAAGAACTATATCACAACCCACAGGAAAGTACTCAGTAAGTGTTAATTCTAGAAACACTCACAGTCCCCTTGGTCAGCTGCCCATGCAGACCAGGCTGCCACTCGACTTCTAACATCCACCTGGGTAACAGTCCCAGGGGGTGCAGGGGCAGGAGCTCTTGGTGGAGGTGGTATACCAGGGTCTGCCTTGGAAATCATCCTAAAAAAGATGAAAACAAACTGAATTTTTACCATCTCTATTTCTGTAACACATCAATTCTCTCAATTTATGATATCAGTTATTCAGCCTTGAAAAGAACTAGGTAAAGGGGCAATAAAGAGCTCCTAACCATTCCATATTACATATATTTATGTATAAATATATTACATATATTTACATATAAATGCACATGAAATACAAAACAATTAAAATTCAGCGGAAAACTAGGTTGAATTTTTTTCTGGGTCTCATGTGATTTGTAAGGGCTATGGACCAATTACAGCCCTAATATATAGTTTGTATTTCCCTAGGCTAACTTCTTTTAAAACACCACTTATCTTTTCATGACTCTCTGTGACTTCCAACACCAGTAAGAGAAGCCATATCAGAGAAAGATCAGAAACATGGAGAAGAGGAACAAACATATACTGACTAACTTGGGAGAGCAAATGTGTTGAGACTTCAGATTATAATCAGTAAAATATAATAATATACTTCCATCGAAAATAATTTTTCTAAACCTTTAGGGTAAAAAAAGATTTAAAAACAAATCAGTTCTATTCCTTAATTTCTTTTAATGCTTTTACCTCAGGGCATCGGGCCGCCTCTTCTGTTTCCCTCCTTTACTGTCACTGATTGCACTTTCAATATCTTCACTTATTAGGTTTGCCTGCAATGAGACACAGTTACCTGGAAGGTTATAGATTTTTCTAAATCTTAATATGCAGGTTAAAACAGAGGGGATTATATTCCTTGTCTTTATCAATAAGTATCTTGATGCAAAGAGTCTTCTTTTAAGTCTGCTTTTAAAACATGACTCTTGAAGTTTTTAATTGTCAACTATATGAGGACGGGATGTAAAAGTTGAAGGAATTTTTAAAGATTATCTAATTCTGCTTCTGTTAGGAAAAAAGCCATTCTTGAACAAAGGCAAAAATAAAAAGGACATGCATATGCTGAAAGTGTAAGTACATGCTAAACATCAGACTGGGTAAATATCTCCTCCTGAGAAGAAATGAAGGGGTCAGAAAAAGCAAGTGCATGGAGAGTACAGTTCCTGCCCTTTCTCATCCTCACCATCCACTAGACACTCATTAACCGACTGAAACATACCCCTGAGTCCCAGCAGAGTCACAGTATTCAGTAAATTCATCTTGAACCCGCCACTATTACCCTCCCATATCATATAAAACAAGCCCTTTGTTCTCAAAATTGAAATCCAGAAACTCTACTCAGAATAGTAACTCTTAGCTCCAAGGGAGACTTAGAGTACAGATACAAATATCAAATTTGAAATGTTTTTTAATTTAGTCCTCTGTTTTTCAAATGTTTGAAATTTTATTATATTGTCAGAGCAAAATAGTCCCTTTAATATTTATTAATTTAATACATTTAACCTTATAAAATTCTTAATACACTTATGACTTCCAAAAGGCACTATATAAAAATCTGATGACTATCACATATACAGACTACCTAAATGCCAGTTGTTTTCAAATAAGATTTTTAGAAAGTTATCTATGACATAAATTAAAATTAGAAGAAAATTATAAAATACATATTTAGTTAATCTTAATTTATTCTATAATATTTTAATGTCAAAAATACAGAAAAAATTAAGTGACTCTTTATGCTAATATTCCAGAATTTCTTTATAAAGATAAAAGTTACATGGATATTTCATAATCTACAATCAAAATGATAAATTACTGCTTTGGCAAAGTACCAATTAACACAAAATGATTTCTCTTTTAGAGAAATCAACTCAGGAAATAAAGGCATTCAAGGTTGGAGATAACTTCTAAGGTCCAATAAAGCATCACAAATTATAATCATTTGAAATTACACTGTGCTTAGAAATAGAAACTTTCAGGATATAGCCTGTTATTACTGGCTCAACTGTTTTCTCATAACACTTGGGGATCACAAAGCTTGAGCAATTATTCAAGTCACATAATTAAATGGTGAACTTTAAATCAATATCGTGGGAAATGTCTAAGTACTTCATTGCAATAATTCATGCTATGTGATCAGTGCAGAATAAATTAAGATTCCATGAGTATTTACTGTCCACAAAGCATGATTTCAGAAGAATCAATTTTTAATTATAAGTCCAAGGCACTTGATAAGAATTTAATATATTATCTACCCTTTAAAAAAAAATAACACATTTGATTTTTAAATATCATTCTTTATTTATTTGGCATGGAAACCCTAAGGAAGGTACTAAGATATTTATTTTCCCTAGAAAATTCTCAGAGAAACTAAACATCTAGTACCTAATAGCTAGCCATATGATCAAAATAGATAATACTGCCAGAACATCTGCTTAAAGGGAAAAAAAGGTCACCATTCCTTTACCTTAATCTCGTCACACTGGAACAGATGAAGATCTGGCTTGTTCTGGGTTGGCTCTTTGCACACTAGGGCAAGAATTGAATCATAGCTGCATGAATGCATCACAGCTTGGCAGTGCTGGATTGTGTTTAAAGGAAAATTCTCCAGTTCATTCTATAAATAAAGTAAATATTTTATTTTGTCAAACTTTTACTCATTTTCAAACAATTTGACCTGATTGCAAACATTAATATTTCCATGGCTCCTTGGGAAAAAATATAAATTTTACAAACTTGCCTTTGATTCTAAATCAATCAGGCTCACAGCTCTGTCATCCACTTGAAGAATCATATCCTGAGTCCATACTTTGCCCTTGGCATCAAGCAATTTCAGCTTCCTTATTCCATCATCGACAGTTATCATAGCATCTTTCCGATCCAGAACAAAGGTAGTCAAGTGCTTATGATTGGCAGAAAAAAAAAAAAAAAGATTTATAAGACGCACAAACACACACACAACCTCTTGGTACACATTTTCCAAAAGAAAGCAGAATTAATCTAATTGAGGTCACTAACAGAGAAGTGAGGGACAAACACAAAGTACTCTAAAACTTTATAATTATCTTATTGAGAGTACAAAGTCAAGCAGGTTTTTTGTTGAATGGAGAAAATGATGCCTTGACTCATAAGTTATCTAAATCGGTTTCATACTGAGCCATGTTGAACTACATAAACATGGCATAAAAACAAATTCTTAACAGCTTAAATAACATTCCTTTAAAATAAATTTTCCCCTATTTTATTCTATTATGGTTATCTAAACGCTGAGAAATAGCAGGCTATCTATATGGCAGCTTTGAAATTATGGACACTGATAGTGCAGAGAGTAACCAACGGCTCAATTATAGGCTGTAACAGCTGTCAAACTATTCAATCTACTAATACCACTTAAAGAAACAAAACTGTTTAAATTTAATTAAGCATACTTGAGATAAGTAGAAAACTGAAAATAAGAGCAATTTAAAATTACCTCCCTGCTTAAATATTTCTATTATAAGCAGAGGTCACCTAGATAAATTCCAAGAGCAAATATTGTTATCTTTTAACAATAGAGCAAAAACGAAAAAAGAAACCATTGTTTAAATGAAACCAGTAATGACTTTAGATAAAACTAAAAATAAAACCACTCACTGAAACTGTCAAAGGTTTAGTTTCAAGAAGATTCTATAGTACAAAATAAATGCCTTTGTCCTATTTTAACCAAAATAAGGCTGTTAATAATAAATGAGTAGTAATTATGATTCAAAATAGACCACAGGCTAACAAGATACTTTTATATGTAACATTTCAGTTTCATAAAAAGTTTTAAAAGTCAACACAACTTAAAATACACTACAGGAATAAAATAAAACATAATTCTGATTTTACTTCCAATTCTATGTTCCTCAAGGTTCAATCTAAATATTACCAAACACCAAAGCATCTTACTTCAACACGGTACTGGGATATATCTGACACACTGCTGACACTGTCGCGTGCATAATTCTTCCTTTGCTCTGAAAGGGAAATTTTAAAAGCCATTATTTATCCATTAATAGGCTGAAGTTCATATATTGGTATCATGTGGCCATTTCTAAAACTAGTCTATCTCACATATAAATACAGTAGTTAACAAGTCATCATTGTGTGGTATATCTGAAAACATTCATTATTCACAGTAAATCTAAAAACCACAGGAAAGCCTAAATGATATGCCAAAACAATTTGACCCACTACAAATTTTTAGAATCTCAAACATTTATAAGATTATAAATGTTCTAAGAAAAAGACTTATTTCATTTGAAGGTTTTTAAATCAGGAACCTACTGTTTGGCAAAAAGATAAAAACTGGCTTGTAAATTCATCTGTTAATGCACTGAGACCAAAATACAAAATATAATTGAAAATACTGTCATAGATACTGTATTATATGAGTTAGACTACATTATTATTAAATAAAATAGGCACTACAAGGAACATCTCTTTTCACAACATCCAAACTATGGACAGTGTTAGAGGAGATTCAAAAGATGAGTCAATCATAGTGATTGCCATTAAATATTAACAATTTTCACACATTTATAGAACACACAAATGTGACACTTAGAATTGTAGATATAAACCATTAGGAAAAATGAGAATGTTGGGTAGAAAGTTTTGTATCAAACTACTTAAAAAGAAAAAAGAAATCTTTAATTTTCTTTTCTGAAATGCTGCAAAACCAAAAAATATTAAAATATAAAATGTGTATTGACAGTATTTGGTATTTGTTATTTTCTTTTCTATTTTAAATATGGAACACTTTACAAATTTGTGTGTTATCCTTGCACAAGGACCATGCTAACCTTTTCTGTATTGTTCCAATTTTAGTATGTGTACTGCCAAAGTGAGCTCTATTTGTTACTTTTTAATCAAACAACTTGCTTACTTATAAATTCAGAGTTGCCCTATTTCTTCTAAAACAGAATGCTATGATGAAAAAGAACTCTAAGGGAGGGGATCAGCAGATTTTTGATTCTACCTTTGCTCTGTCACTAAGTAGGAAACTAAATTTGGGCAAAACACTTAATGCCTTGGGCCACATAACACCCTTATTGTAAAATAAAAGGGTTAAATATAAATACCCTTAACTCATTAAAATTCTGATATATTCATATATATATATAATCACCAATTTTTTTCTAAATATAAATATGTTTCTTTCAGCTAATACAGAAACTCTTAGGTATTCCTACAACAGCAGAAGTTGAAAAGATCTGCTGAACTTTTGTAAAAGCAAAGTACGAAAATATAAAGTACATATATGTAGACTCAGAATGTTAACAGATTTTTCCAAAACTTCAATAAATCTTTGTTTCAAAACACATATGAAAGTCACTTTCATTAATATTTAAAAAATTTAGATGAAAATCTCCATATTCCTTATATCAATATCACTCTGATAGTCCAATACGTTCTTTTTTTTTATTTCAGCATATTATGGGGGTACAAATGTTAAGGTTACGTATATTGCCCCTGCCCCCCCCACCCAACACCTGATAAATGTTATTTCTATATGTCCACTTAAGTGTCGATCCGTTAATTTTTTGCTTTTGCAGCATTAAAATTACTTAATAGAAACAGACACACTACAAAATTCAGTCTTTGCTACCTTTCTTTTTTTGTTTGGATGATGACCTGAAGAAGTATGATCCATCTGGTCCTACCAAAATAATGTGATCAAAAAGAAAGATCTGGTTTCACCTCAAATTTTCTACTTCAATGTAACAAAGCATAAACCTGCACTTATATGACTATATTCTACATATTTAAAAAAGGAAACAACCATGATTTTTCTGATTAGTTGAAGATTAATAAATTTGAGATATTAAAACACAGATAATTGTTTCTGGGAGAACCATTATGACTCTTGAAATGTAATACACAATTCAGGGATACATCTGACAAAAGCACATCTAGAAATAATTACTATTTCAGAATCACTGGTTCATCATATTCTAATACAACTCTCATGGCAGACTGAGAACATGAGGGTAGTTCTACTTCATTAGATCCAATCTAAGGATAGTAAAAGAAATGGCAACAGTTACCATGATATCCAGTTATAATATGGCAGCTCCAGGATGTTCAAATGCTTGACTTAGTCTCTCAGATAAGTGATTGGGAAACACAGTTGAAGGTCCAAAATACTGTACGTTTATACTTAGATATTCTCATTATGAAGTAAGAATTTATACCCCCAGATTTCCCGACATATAGCTTCTCAGTCCCATAGAAACATAATTTACAGAAACAAAAAAACTATTTCATAGCATTTTAAAACATTATAATGTTAACTGATCACTTTGATTGCCAGAATATATAGTGTCATTTATAACATTCCAAATTATGGACCCATTTTAGAAATTCCTAAGCAGCTTTCTCTCCTATATTACATAATTAAGATGTATAAGAAATTATCTTTTAAAAATCCTAAAAATGTCTAAATGCCATAAAATAGATTTACAAATAAACTAGTAGTTTCAGTGATTTTTAAGTCAACAAATAAAGGTTAATATTAATGCCTTTAATAGGCAAATGTTGAAAGAAGTTTACTAAAAGGCAACTACATTTCTTTTTTATGAGAATCATATGTACTCACTAAAACAAATGTAAATAGTAATTATGCTCCTAAGCTGAAAATCTCATAAAAGACTTAAAACAGTGTAAAAAGCCTACGTAAAGTCTCTCAGCACTACTCAAGGTGGAGCCTGTATTGAAGTCCACCACTTTCTCTAACAGTGGTTCTCCTGTTTGCATATTAGAATGAACTTTATAAAACACTGTGTGGGGCCTCACTACACAAGAGATTCTAATGTCAACTGGTCTAGGGTGCAGCCTAGGCACTCCACTTTGCAAAAGCTCCCCACGCAATTCTAATGTGCAGCTAAGGTACTCCAAAATCTGTGTAAATGTCAACTCATCTACTGTATGCTAACTCTTTAAACAGAAAATTTTCCTTTCCAAAATAAGAGTGTAAATCATGGTAAAATGGTGTAATAAATAATAAATAAATGAATAAATCTAACAGTAGAGCTTTGGGTTTCTAGTATAATAAGATGCTTAATATAAGAGTAAGTCAATTTTCCCCCCTGACTCCCGCCTCTTTCTTTCTCTTACAATCAGAGCTGGAAACAAAACTTACTTGCTTAGAGTACCACTGGTTCTGTTTTACCATTTCCCCTATTAGCTTTTATCCCATGGTCCAGAATATACAAATCCAGACAGACAGAATTACGTGAATTCAGTAACTAATGATGAAAATTCTATAGATACCACTTTAGCATTATTGATATCCTGTCACAAAAATCAATATTTGATTTCCAGATCCAGAAATACTAAATTTAGGTTTCATTTAACTCTTTAATTACTACAATTGAAACTACAAGTATGCAAGCCTCAGTATTTAGTTAGTTCCCTTTCACCTGCATTGATGTTTATGCATAGTATAGCAACATGTGAAACAGATAATATTCAGAGATAAAGCTAACATTTAGAAAATTTTTATTTTCTCTTTCTCTTAAAACAAATGTTGCTTAGAAAGTAGGAATTTGGCCATTAAAAAGAAAAAAGTAACATAAAAGCAGCTGTTGATATTTCTTTCTCTAAATAAAACAATGGGCTGTAGCTTTATTACTTTATACTTATAAAACTTTCAACCACAATAAGGGAGAATTCCTCTCCCACTAGTGTATAGTGTATAATTTCCAGAGAAGAGAGGTGCCTAATAGGAATCAGTAAGGAGCACCAAATGATAATTACAAGCTTTCATTATCAGGCAACTATCACAGTTTGACAGATCAGTATCTGAACCAAGATACTGTTTTAAAACACAAGCAAGGTCATTTTTAAAAACTATATCATTTAAGAATTAACTTTATTGGTCTGTTCAACAAATCATTAAAATGGCTTATCCCATGAAGTTAAAAAGAACTTCCAATTTTTCAGTTAAGTTGGGAAAATTGCCACACTTTTTTGGAGTCGCCTTCTCTGGTACATTCTATCAAGATGAATTTTGACTAATGTTTAGCCCAATTTCCTGGGACTCGTTAATCATGGGCCATTTACTTCTTAAGAATTAAAAAAAAAAAAACATAAGACACAATATTTTGTTCTTTGAAATAAAGATTTAAATGTTTCCTCTAAGTAAAATACACACCAAAAATAACAAGAATGGGGAAAAGAGGAATGAGTTTTAACTTATAACTGCCACTTGAATGTGTAAGAGATTGCTTGAGCTTTAATTATGACAATTAAACAGAGAAACTAGCTCCAAGCCAAGAATAGGAGATAAAGACAGAAAGAGAAAGAAAGCTAGGTACAAAAAGAAAAATATGTAGGGAGGATATCTGTTGAGAAAAGTGGTATTTTCAGGAACACTGTTATGAGTAAGTTGAATAAAGCACTGTGTGGAAATATAGGAAAGCTTACAGTAAACTCAATTATACTGAAAATCACTGTGCAGTTTATAGGTTACTTATACTCAATTCTTACCAGCATCTCTCTGAGAAGAAAAGGAAAAGCAGGAAAACACAAATATATTTTTCTACTTGTTGTTAACATTACAAAATAGTTCAAACTTAAGGTTAAAATGAGACTTGAGAGAGTACCTATCATATTTATCTAATATTATTTGCCCTCCCAGTAATGTGAATCTCAAAGTTACTGTAAGTGTTGGCAATAACAAAAAAGTATTACTAATAGGTAATTCTGTGAAATTTGAGTTTTTTGGAGATGAGATAACTTAAAGCAGCCAACTGATTATGATAAATGGCCATATTCCAAATTCAGTGATAGCTAATCTAAAGGGAACTTCCTTTTCTAGGAAGTTCAGCTATTCAGAACAAAGCAGAAAACTCATATAAAATAAGTTCTCCGAGTGGCTGTTAGAGATGTCGCCATGTCAAAAATTTACACATTTTAAAGTATAAACTAATGGAAAGACTCTCAATTCCCCCTTCAGAACCTATTACTAACA